TTAATTTCTGTTGTGTAAGCCACACATTCTGTGGTATTTTATTATGGCAGCCCTAACAAACTTAATACACCTCATGTAAGTAAAATCATACAGCATTTGGGGCGGGGGGGTGCTGGTTTATTTCACTTAACACAATGTCCTCAAGTTTCATCCAGTAACATATGACGGGATTTCCTACTCTTTAAAGCTGAATGATATTCTGTTATACGTATGTACCACATTTTGTTATTACAATCACCTGTTTGTGGGCATTTGGGTTGCTTCCACCTCTTGGCTAGGGTGAGTAACGTTGTTATGAACAAGGGTATGCAAGTATCTCTGCAAAGGGCCTGCTTTCTACTCCTTTATCTATATGCTGAAAAGTGGGATTACTAGATCACATAATAGTTCTATTTTAAATTTTGCAGTGAATGCCATACTGATTTCCATAGCCATTATACACTTTACAGTCCCACCAGCAGTGCACAAGGGTTCCAATTTCTCCACATTCTCACCAGCACTTATTATGGTTTTTTGATAGTAGTCATTCTATATCATTGAGGTTTTGATTTGCATTACTCTAATTGATCATCTGGTACTTTTAAAAATTCAGAGTGTGGTGATTATGGGGAGGGTAGGGTGGAGGTGGAAGAGGGAATAAGGGGGATAAATGGAAATGTAAAAAAATACAATAAAAAGACAACAAAATTCAGACTAAGACCTCTTTGAGATACCACATATACCCACTATTTTTGAAAAATTAATCTCATAATACCAAGGGTTGATGAGGACAAAAAAAATTTTTAAAACCCTCCTACATGCTGCTGGTGGACATGTACATAACCAACAATCTCTTTGAAAAACAACTTGGCATTACCTAGTAAAGTGACATTCACATTCCTTATGACTCAGCTATTCCACTTCTAGGTAGTCCTTTCTCACAATGTTTTTCAAACCTTAGGTCACCACTCATTTGTGAGTTCTGTAACCCATTTATTGAGAGTTGCGATTAGCATTTTTTAAACACTAGAAAGGTATTGTTTTATTTTGTGAATTTTATATATGTGCATGTGTTTACCAGTTGAAGATACCAACTGCATTTCTTATACTATGTGTCAAAAAATCTGAAAGACTCTTGTTGACCCCACAATGAATGTACCTACTGAGAATAGTTCTTGTTGGCTGAGTTGAGATTTATAAACAGGCCTCTCACACAAACCACACTACAGTGAGCAGCCCACCTCCTGCACTGAACTGCCTGCCTGCACTGCATCCCTGCTCTCTTAGCCAACCCTCATGAAGCAGTTCCTAGAATTGCATTTCAACCAATAGGACTAAGACTTTCCCTGTCCAATTGGAACTGCATAGTTATAGCCCCATTAGCATCTTCACCTACCAATCAGAGCAGCTCCATTACAACCAATCAAGACAGTGTTTTTTAGACCAAACTCTGAGGATTTGGAGTTTGTCTGAGATGAACTAAGCAGGGAACATGGGCAGGGATTCCTTTATACATAAGTCAGTTCCCTTCTGACTCAAAGAGTGCACTTCTACTTCACGTAGAAAACTGAAGGCTGGAGCTGAAATACCGAAGACCAGCTTGAAGTAGGGTAGAACCCAAGCAGGTGGAGCAGGCAAAATTCTCATCCCAGGCCACCTCACAGCCATGTTATTCTACAGCCACACTCTTCATAAATGAGCACTAACACGATTGTGCTGTTCTCACAGCCATACTGTAACACAACTAAGCTGTTTGCATTAAATAAATTTTCCTTCCTCACCACACTTCAAATTGGGGATTCCTGTTGGAATTGAACTGGTGCCAACAACCACTGGTCGGCACTCACATTTTAAATTTCTGCACATGTAGACCCCGGGTGCGGGGTGGCAACCAGCAGACCCAGCAAGATGGTGATTGTGAAGCAAGGCACTGCATGCAATCCAGGGTCCCAGTGCCAGGAAATGGAGCCTCAGGGCACTGACTGAAAATGCCTGTGGGGGTTGAGGTGCAGGGAGAGACTCCTAGCCTCACGAGAGTTCATTCAAGAGACCCACAGGGTCCTAGAATGTCTACAAGCCCACCCACATGGGAATTAGCACTAAAAAGGCCTAGATTGCTTGGGGAAAGCGGCAGAAGGGACTGAAGTCCAAAGGAGAGTGGAGCAAATGCCATTGTTCCCTCTCTGACCCTGCCACCACATACAGCATCACAACCCAGCAACTGGGTTGCCCTGCCCTGGTGAACACCTAAGGCTCACCCCTCATACATAACAAGACAAAGAAAAAATGGTTCAAACAGAAGAACAAATCAAAGCTCCACAGAAAATACAACTAAGCGGCCAAGAGATAGACAACCTATCAGATGCACAGTTCAAAGCACTGGTGATCAGGATGCTCACAGAATTGGTTGAATTTGGTCTCAAATTAGATGAAAAATGAAGGCTACACTAAGCGAAATGAAGGAAAATGCACAGGGAACCAATAGTGATGGGAAGAAAACTAGGACTCAAATCAATGGAGTAGACCAGAAGGAAGAAAGAAACATACAACCAGAAAAGAATGAAGAAACAAGAATTCAAAAAAAATGAGGAGAGGCTTGGGAACCTCCAGGACATCTTTAAATGTTCCAACATCCAAATTATAGGGGTACCAGAAGGCCCAGAGGAAGAGGAACAAGTGGAAAAGTTATTTGAACAAATAATAAAGGAGAACTTTCCCAATCTGGCAAAGGAAATAGACTTGCAGGAAGTCCAGGAAGCTCAGAGAGTTCCCAAAGAACTTGGACCCAAGGAGGAACACACCAAGGCACATCATAATTACATTAGCCAAGGTAAAAATGAAGGAAAGAATCCTGGAAGAAGCAAGAGATAAGGAGACAGTTACCTACAAAGGAGTTGCCATCAGACTGTCAGCTGATTTCTCAAAAGAGACCTTGCAGGCAAGAAGGGGCTGGAAAGAAGTATTCCAAGTCATGAAAGGCAAGGACCTACACATCCAAGATTGCTCTATCCAGCAAAGTTTTCATTTAGAATGGAAGGGCAGATAAAGTGCTTCTCAGATAAGGTCAAGTTAAAGGAGTTCATCATCACCAAGCCCTTATTTTATGAAATGTTAAAGGGACTTATCTAAGAAAAAGAAGATAAAAAACATGTATAGTAAAATGACAGCAAACTCACCATTATTAACAACCACACCTAAAACAAAAACAAAAGCAAACTAAGCAAACAACTAGAACAGGGACAGAACCACAGAAATGGAGATCACATGGAGGGTTAGCAACAGGGGAGTGAGAGGAGGAGTAGGGAGGGAAAGGTACAGGGAATAAGTAGCATAGATGGTAGATAGAAAATAGGGGGAGGACAAGAGTAATATGGGAAATTTAGAAGCTAAAGAACTTATGACACATGGACATGAACTAAAGGGGGGTGGAATGTGGGTGGGAAAGGGTGTGCAGGGTGGAGGGGAATGAAGGGGGGTAATGGGGCAACTGTAATAGCATAATCAATAAAATATATTTTTAAAAATTCTGCACGTGAGTGCCAGGAGAATGTATAAAAATGTTCATAGCACTATTGTTCATAACAACAGAAAATTGGAAGCAAACCAAGTGGCCAATAGAATTGTAAATTTGTGGTATATCCACCCAAGGCAACTCTATAAAGTAATAGAAATGAATGCATGAGTATTACATCTTCTTAAGTGATAAAAGATCGCACAGACTGATATGTTTACAAAGCTCAATAACAAGTAAAACTAAGCAATATGTTGTTGAGGAATACACACATGGAAAGAAACTGTAAGAACAAATAATATTGGAATATATTTGGAAAATAGATGAAATGGGGACAAAAAAGATAGATGCAATAGTTGTATTCTAGTTGTATTCTAGTTCTTAGGTGCATCCATGGATATTCATTTTGTTAATGTGCCACATAATTTAAATTTATACTAAATATATTTCATACACATATATCTTCATAATGCATGTATTTCTAAAAAATTCTCCCCAAAGCGTACATCCTCTACCTTTTAACACAGTAATGAGTCAACATTTCCAAACAAAAACTGAATTTCCTGAAAAACAGGTTAAGAAGTTAAGGCAAGGGGGGTGGGGGTGGGAAATGCTTGTCAGCTTTGTCAAAGGTCGGCATGTACCATTTCATGTGAGCACACCTTTCTTTCCGTTTCTTGAAGCCAGATCATGGTGTAGGGAATGATCATAAACAGATACATCACTACCTTTAACATGAGAATTTTGTGTTTTTCTTGCTTTAAAGGACAAAAAAACAAAATTGCAATTCATTTACATTCGTCCCGTGTATCTACACCTCATCTAAATCAGTATGATATTGATTTACGTATGGGCTATTTAGTTAGCCCTCACCTAATAGTTTCACTATGGAAAGCGTAACCAGGGCCAGAACTCTCACTTATTTAGAACTAGCACAAACTGTCATCGCTTTTTTAATTTCCTTTAAATGCTCTTGGGGCAGCTCACCCAAACTTCTCATCAAGTGGAGAGCAATGCATTGATTTCCGAGAAGTAGCTTACAAGCAAGACACAGCAAAATAGCAGTTGTGGGGGAAGGGAAGAATCAGTAAAGAAAACAAAAAAAGAAATCCCCTAGGAGAAAGAGATTGTGGAAACTGAAACAAAATGGAAAATTTCCACACTAAAAATTCCAAAATAATATGCAAGATCGCGGTGGGAGGGGGGAAGGTTCAAAGGCTTTTATCGGCGTAAAAGCAGTAAGCAAATTTAAGAGAGGAAATTCACGCTTTTTTAAAAAGGGCAATAAACAGAGCTTTTCCACTTCAGCAAAACCCACCGCAAAGATGGCGATGATACGAAACCCCTTCTCCTCCCGCTGCCCCAGCCTCTCGCCTCACATTTTCCCACAAACCCCTCCGCGCGGACCCGCTCTCCGAACCTGCCTGGCCAGTCTCCGACCACTGCGCACGCGCAGCCTGTCGTCACTTGCGCTCCCAGGACTCCGCGGAGCTGGCAGGAGGGGCCTTCTCAGCTTCCGCCGCCGCGTCGCTTCGGGTCTCGAACGTCGGGTTCGCGCTGCCTCCGCCGCCGTGGGGCAGTCGGGGGTCCCGAGGCCCACCGAGGGGCGCACGGCGGCGTGGCCATGGGTCTACGCCGAAACCGGTGACAGCAGGGAGCCTAGCGGCCCGGGCCCTGAGCGCGTCTGCTCCGGGGGGCCTCGCCCTCCTGCTCGCGGGGCCGGGGCTCCTACTGCCGTTGCTGGCGCTGCTGCTGGCAGCCGCGGCGGCCAGGATAATGTCGGGCCGCCGCTGCGCCGGTGGCGGCGCGGCCTGCGCGGGCGCAGCAGCCGAGGCGGTGGAGCCGGCCGCCCGCGAGCTGTTCGAAGCGTGCCGCAACGGGGACGTGGAGCGAGTCAAGAGGCTGGTGACGCCCGAGAAAGTGAACAGCCGCGACACGGCGGGCAGGAAATCCACCCCGCTCCACTTCGCTGCAGGTAACACGGACGTCGCTGCTGTGACTCGCGCCAGACCCCACCTGCGCACCCGAGCTCTCAGGCTCAAAACAAAACACAGTGCTCTTCTGCTCCTGGCCTTACCTGCTGCCCCCGCGCCCCTGCCCGGGACCCCGGACATGGTTTTCTCGTTCTAGTCCAGTGGGGAATTGAAGGGATTGGGGTAGGAGCTGGGAGGAGCGTGCTGCGCTCTTTGGAGGGTTTTTTTTTTGTTTGTTTTTCTTTGGCTTTGTTTTGTATCAACAGTACCTGTATCAACTTCCGGTCTTGCTACCCTAAAAGGCCTCTGCACACAAGATAGAGCAAGGGACATAGTAGACCTTGTAATCTTAAAAGCTAGTTATCTCCAAAATCTGTCGTTCTTGCAAATTCCATTGTTATTCTTATCAATCCTTTGGGTTAAGGTGTTGAAGGCCCTTTGTAAAATGCAAACATGTAATTTAGGAAGAGGAGCTCAATTGGCTCATTGCCTTATTTGCCTTAAAGTGTTTATGTAGTCAGTCATTAGAAAGTTTCTGTTGAGACTAGGATCGGAAGTTGTCAAGTTCGGGAGAACTGAGTTCTGGTTTAGGCTAGATCCAGGATGGTGGTCTCTGACATACACAAGTTGGAGTGAAAAATAGGATAAGAGGAAAGATGGTGCAGGTGTTTTAGCTTGGATCTAGAGTTAAATTGGGACTAACCTCGCCTCATTCTGAGACGTAGAGTGTTTGAATGACTTTTAATATTTACTAGGTTTACTTTGTAATATAAGCATATTAAATTTTATTGGCGAATTTGAAAGAACTAGAAATGAGATACTCAGCTTAGCTCTATAAAGCATTTATACTTGTCACTTTGAGGAAAGATCATAACACTCTCCTCCTGATTGAAAATAGAAATAGGTTCTCATACTTCTTATAATCCTGGTTTTTTGTTTTGTGTATTATATGATTGTTTAAAATAACTTTGTATATTGATTTTAGAGAGAGAGAGAAACATCAATTTGTTGTTCCATTTTATACATTAAGTAGTTGATTCTAGTATATGACCTGACCAGGGCTCGAACTGCAAACTTGGCATATTGGCTGATCTCTAACCAACTGAGCTGCGCAACCAGGGCTAAAATAATTTTGAAAAAACAGAAGGATATGCTTTAAAGCACTCTGCTCTTTTGGAGTAGGAATGATGAGCAGAGGAGCATAAGATGTCCTTGTTCACAGACACTGCTTTACACTTTCTGCCACAGGAGATTTGTTTGCTTTAACCTGTACCTGTTTTGAAGTGTAAATATTATTAGGATGTATACTCTCTCAACTAGTTACAACTTTATTGGGTTCCCATTGGGGAGCCTTTTTAAAGAGAGAAAGTTTGAGGGAGTATGGGTGAGAGTACTAGAAACGGCCTGTGGACAGCAGAAAGGGAAGAATAAGAATACTAAAGTCAAATCTCACCTGTTTAGTCATTTTGCCTAAAATTTTGGTGTTTAGGGGCACCTTTCTCACTAATTTGGATTGCCCTGTTTGACCATGTAGTGAACATTAAAACAACTGATTTGGCAAAGTGTCATAACCAACTGATATGTAATCCAAAGGGTAGTATTACTTAGATTCTGTTCATTTGATCTGTGAGATAAAAATAACCAAGGAAGATCTTAGTTGCTGCCTTTTAAGAATTTGGTGTATTAATGAGTTCATATCTGAAAATAGTAATATTTAGAGGTTTAAGATTATGGGATTATCTGATTGATTTTGTTCCTCCACCACCATTCCACTCTCAGTTCTGTCCCAACATTTCAAAGTACATAGGTTTCGTTGTGATTTGTCCAGACTGAAATGGAAAACTTATTTTAGGAACAAACCCACCCCTCACAATTTACCCATTTTATCAGGTACAGGTTATAAAATTAAGAATTTAAAGTATAAAAGGAGAGTAATAAAGATTGTTAACAGTCTACATTACACAAGAGCTTTAAAGCCCTGCATTTAAAACTAGGCATATAACTTTATAAGTTATATAAAACTCTAATCACCCTGTTGTACACCTAAAACTAGTATGTTATGTGTCAACTGTTATTTAAAACAATTTTTAATTTAAAAATTTTTGTCACAGGAAAGTTATGTAGACTTTGCAAATGCCAAATCACAAAAAAGAAACTTTTTAAAAATTAGTTCTGTAAATTCAATCTAAATTATTAGATTAATGAGAGAGAACTTGTTTCTTCATTTATATGTAAATGCATTCAGCTGCATTTTCTCTAACTATATGGAGAATACATTTTATATATTTTGTAGGTAGAGGGTTATCAGTCATGTTAACGTGCATCTAAACATGCTATTGGAAACTCAACATAGGTGGTGAGACTGTGTAGCTGTTTGACCAAGCAGTTTCTTGGGTTTGCACATTATAGAGTAAGCTATGGAAGAGAACTCCCCCCCCCCGCCCCCTCCACTCGCCAATTAAAGTTTGGAGGTTTTCCTGGGGGTGGGAGGGAGCATCCTTTTATCTTTTTGATATCCTAGGAACAGGAATGAGGGATATGTGCAGACCAGAGAAAATGAATCCTGATAGAAGAACAGTTTAGTAGAAATTGTGTCTTTTCACCTAAAATATTTAGTTACAAGAATAATCAGTAGCCATCCCCAAAGGAGGTCTGTTAATGAAAAAATCAACATAAACTGGAATTTTTCTTCTATTAGGTGTTTTTATTATTGAACTAGATTACATTTTTTCTAAATAAGCATGCTTTAAGAAGTCATTTTTATGAGAAAAATTATTTCCTCTTGAATCTAGTTTCCTTTTGTCCCCTACCTGTCACTCCTCCCCACCCCCAACACACACATACAGGATATGAATGAATTTTTTGTGACATGTCACAAAACTTGTAGAGACAAGCTGGTGGTAGGGAGGCTGCAGCTTTAATTTTGCTAAAAGCAATAGCATCTGAAATTCTTGACAGTGTAATCCCCTAGAAAACAGCGGTTCTCAGTAAAAGGGATTGCTTCTCTAAACTTGTTTCTGAAAAATAAAGAAGAGGGACAGAAACTTTGGGAGAAATTCATCTTATTGTCCACCATAGTGAAAGAAAGAAATACATAGCATTCTCTAGAATCATAGAACTGGTGTGGGGGGTGGCAAGTGAAATAGAATTCAGTAGCTTGAAAATTTTAAATATTTTGGGGTAGGTGTGCACAGAGCTATCATTCAGTAGAGAAATGTATAAAATCATTTATCAGGTTTAAGAAATTTAGATAGATGGTAGAAAGAGATAGTTGGTTTACGTATATTGGAGAATGACAAGTTGAAAAGAGCTTGCATTGTAGAGTTCTAGCTAAACAAAGTAACACTTGTTTTGTATATGTAGTTTATTTGTAGTTTGCTACTCAGCCATGCACTTTGGACCAGTCAGGCTGAACCCTGATTACTGTATACAGTAGTGTGAATTGCATATAAGAAGGAATTTTCTTATTCCGGTAAGGGAAGTGGAATTAGAACCTCTGGAATTTATTATATAAGCAACAGATGAAAACTAGAGTTACTTACTCTAGAAATGAAAGAATACTAAGGTCAGACAATGTTACTGTCTTCACATATGTGGAAGATAGTCCCGTAGGAAAATGAGTGGGTATGACTTATGTATGGCTTCAGCAGTCCTAACAAGGGCCAGTAAATGGAAGGTTGTAAGAGTTCCCATTGCCTTTAACAAGCTGTTCAGCTGTGGAATTAGCTGGAAATGTCCAAGCAGTGACTGGATTGGCATCTTTCAGAGGTGTTGTAGAAAGGATTTCTGCATAGGCTAAGCACTTGGACCAGCAGGTCAGAATCTGACTGGTATAAGAAAGAGGATGGGCCCCGACTGGTGTGGCTTCTCTCAAAGTGAAAGGTTGCCGGTTTGATTCCCTGTCAAGACACATGCCTGGGTTGAAGGTTCAGACCCTGGTTGGGATATGTATGAGAGGCAACTGATTGATGTTTCTCTCTCCCTTTGATGCTTCTGTCCTTCTCTTTCTCCCTCCCTTCCCTTCTCAAAATAAATATTTTAACAAAAAAAAAAAGAAAGTGGAATGATTACCCCATTTGAAGGTTTAACAACTCAGCTACCAAAGATACATACAGTACCTTTTTTGCTTGTCATTCATATCCTTCTCCAAAATGGTACTTCTAAAGACATCCAATAACGTTTCAATAGTATTTCCTCCTTTTGTCTCTAGGCCAACGTCATAATTATGGGAGATGCACAAAATGTACCCGCATTCCTAACTTAGGACTGAACTAGAGATTATTATTTCCAAGGTTATTTTTTGCTGTGTGTGTGGTGGGCAGGGGGTAGGGGGGAGTAGTAAGTCATACATCTGTAGAAAACCCCAGTATAAGATAAATGTTGGTATATTTAAGAATTCAGAATCTTTCATGACTTAGCCAATTTCCCAGTATTATCAGGACTTGAGCTACACTTTTTTCCTCAACTCTTGCTGGACTTAGAGGTAAGTGATTGACTTCATTAACAACTAGTTTGGAGTATTTGTTTTAGTACTTCCTCATTTAGATTGTCAGAATTTCATCACCCCAGACCATGTTTCAAAGTTTCTCCTAGTCTGATGGTGTATCTGTCCCAAGTTGAGCTAGGCCAAACCTTCTCCCTTCTATTCCTCTCTAAAATATATGGAACTACCTTTCTTAGATCTTTGCCAGCTGAAGTTATTGGAAGTTTAAAATGACATCCCTCAGAAAAATCTGACTAGAGTCCTGACTATGTAAATCAGAGCTTAAGGCTGCTTGATTATACATCCCATCTCCCAGACTACTGGGGCCTTCTGTTTCATGGTGATTACTGACATTTTCTGCTTCTGAACGTTTTCTTCTGACAAAGCCGTACATGACACCAACCTACGTTTAGATTGTCAAGACATTATTGTCATTTCATATTGGGCCGGTTATATCATCAGTGGCCCACCCCATCTTTAGACTATAAAAAGGGGAGGTAGCAGCTCTCAGTAAAATTTCCTGAGCATTTAAGTTGGTTTCTTCGTGATGACTTTCACTGCTTTATAGCTTTTTGGAAGCCACTCAAATGTAAAGATGTTTCCCATGTGGCAGCAAAATATGATACTGTTAACAATAGTCTTGGTTAGCAAGACAGGTCCTAGAACTGCTAAAACTGGTGGTACCTAGATAGTAAGGAAACTTCACGAGAAAGAAATTGAATAGACTGCTTTTCTTAGTAATCACAAATCATCAGCTCCATAGTGTCTGTGAGGGTCATTTGCTTTCTATTTCAGCAAAGTATTAAACATGTACTAAGCAAAACAAATGTTTATTAAGTCCTGTATACTAGATTCTAGCCTTGGCCGGTGAACAGAAATGAACAGAACACAGTACCTGCCATTAAGTGACACAGTTTATTGATCAGCAAATTTACTTTCAAAATATGCCTGCTTTGTTTCACTGTTAGTGCTTTATAGTAGATTCACACTCACTGTATGATTTTATCAGGATTTTCACACAGCAGTGTGAAACAGAGCAGTGTTTGAAGATAAGTTCTCTTCCATAATTATAAAATAAACCACAATATATCCTGAGCAACCATGACTACTAACTTGAGGCTTCTGATTCCTTTGTAAAGAAATCCTTAGGATATGGAGATTGGCATTGATTCTGAGGATATGCCTATTCATGTTCTACCTGGCCAGTGAGAACATGATCAACATATATACCTGCAAAGCTATTTTTCCTTCAAGAAATGAGTGTTTAACAGAGGCTTTGAACTAGTCTTGAGACCGTAAGAATGGGGATTTCATCAGGGATTAGCCTTCAGAATTTAGGAAGCATCTTGAATCTAAAGGTTTCCCCAAAATCTTAACAGTGGAAAATTTTTGAATTTTAAATAGCTGCATACTGACCCCCTCTAAATTTCCTTTTATGCCAAGAAATGGCTTCAAACATTCAAAATTTTAGACTCTTCTTCTACTCTGTTGGGATAGTAACATGACCTCCCCTCATGTTATGGTCCTTCCAATGTGACTTTGAAAACACGCTGATATCTGCTGTTAATCTCTAGACAGGTTTCAGATATCTTAATGGCTACGAATTGTGTTGATAACAAGTTATAGAAGTTAGCTGTGTCTTGGAATGTTGGTAGCTATACAGATATGATCACTTTACCCCTTCTGCCAAGCTTAAACTTCAACTTCTGGGTTTAGTCATACATGTCAGTAGTGAGTATATGTCTGTCTCGTCAATGAATTCTTGAATTGTTGAATCCCTTATTATTTCCCATCCAGAAGCATCTTAGCATGGCTTTTACTTGTCGGTTCTAATTTGATATATTTTCTTTGGAGGACTTAAATATGGATAATTTGTTTTCTTTTAGGTTTTGGGCGGAAAGACGTAGTTGAATATTTGCTTCAGAATGGTGCAAATGTCCAAGCACGTGATGATGGGGGCCTTATTCCTCTTCATAATGCGTGCTCTTTTGGTCATGCTGAAGTGGTCAATCTCCTTTTGCGACATGGTGCAGACCCAAATGCTCGTGATAATTGGAATTACACTCCTCTCCATGAAGCTGCAATTAAAGGAAAGATTGATGTTTGCATTGGTAAGACTGTTCACTTTCCAGAATTTTTCTGAAATAGCTTGTAATTATTCTGTGTCTGAATTGATTTCATTTGTTAATTTGATCAATTTCTGCCAGGATGAATTTAAATACTTAAGAACAATTCAAGATTTAAGGTAACCACTATTTACTAAGTGTCATTTTGTGTATAGTATTGGGTTTAAGTTCTTCAAAGAATAGAGACAAGATTCTTGTTTTCTAGAAACATGGGTTCTCTTAAGAGATGGCACACGCAAAGAACCAGATAAAGTCATGGTAGAAGTGAACAGGAATGTTAGAGGGTAATGAGCACAGTGAGTAGGCTGGAGTCTGGTTATTCCTTCTGGGAGACTTTCCAGGGAGTAGTGGGAGGAAGATTGAAAAGGTAAGGATGTCTGTATAAAGAAATTTGCATTCCAGGTTAAGGAGCTTGATATTGTTATGTAGGTTGTATGGAATCATTGAAGACTTAAGGAGGAGAACAAGTGTGATGAGAGTATTATATTTTAGAAAGAGTGATCTGGTTGGGGGCTGGTAGAATGGGTAACATCAGGGGGATTAGCTAGGAAACTGTAGAATAATCCAGATGAGATACGATGGCGGCATAAATCAGGGTTATTGTAGGAAAATAGAAATGGCAGGATAAGCAAAGAAGCATTTGAAGAGAAAATCATCTGTCATAGGGTTTGCCCAACAGACTGATCATTGACAGAAAATTATATGTGAGAAGACTGCTTATTTGAGAGTTTTTATTAACCTGGTTTTGACTTTTCTGAGCCTCACAAGTCTGGGATTTTGGACTCTGCTACCTTAGCTCTATTTCCTGATGCAAAACAGGGACAGTTGAAGTTTGTCAGGCAGATAGAAAGCCAGTTCTGCATGCTAGAAAAAGTCCAGAGGCTCTTTGCTAGACTTGCGTTGTTCTCCCCTGCCCTCCACACACCAAATCACTATTCATACTGAAGTTGCCAGTTTAAATTAGGTGATTTATAAAGATACAAAACAGATTACCTAGTAACCTCTGCCCAGTTTTCCTTTCCTATGCATTATATTGCTTCTGCCTTCTGCTCATAATCCTTTCCTAGTTCCTGAGTCTCAGACATACAAATAATTCGTTTTAATAATAACAGCGTTTTCCAAATAAAGTTATAGATCTGCACTATCCGTTGTGGTAGCTGAGAACGTCTAATGTGGCTAGTCGAAACTGAGAAGTATTCTAAGGGAAAAATACACTGGATTTCAAAAGACTTAATATGATAAAAAGCAATGCAAAAATCTCAATTTGTATTGATTACAATATAAATGTAAATATTGAGATATTTTGGATATGTTGGGTTAAATAAAATGTATTAGGATGAATTTAACCTGTTTTTATTTTTTAAATGTGGCTACTAGAAAATTTTAAAATACATGTGTGTCTGCCATTAATGCCTCACATTTTTCTTCTGTTACAGGTAGGAATAGAGTAGAATAGAATGGACATTAACCTTGTCAAAGAACGGAAGCTAGGCTTCCCTTTCTGCATGTACTTGCCTTTCTTTCCCCAGGTCCTTATTTATAGAGTATGCTATAATGTCTTTATATAACAGGTAACAATACAGAGTATAGCACAGGTCTTTTCTTTTTATGTGCTTTTGGTTATAATAAGCAGTTTTGATTTGAGGTTTGTTAACCCTACAGAGAGTGTTTTTCTTTTCTTTTTTAAGAATTTGCGTCTTTTTCAGTACCCCAGATCCCTATTCCTGGACTATCCATGAGTTTAGAAATTTCATTTTTGTTAGGATAGAACAATCTTTCTAACAGGCGGTTTTTATTTGAAATGAGAAAACAAACTTTTAAGCAGATTTGCCATTTATATTCTTACATAGTCTTATCTGTCTTTAGTCTCTTGTCTAGCAAAGGAAAATCTGACTTGGAGCTTAGCAGATATTTATTTAATGAGTATAATACATTAAATAATAAAGCATTTTATATATTCTTATCTTTATAACATTTACCATACTGTCAGGATATGAAAGATTTTTAAATACATTGAGACCACTGGACCAGAATTTTTGAGAAAATTATTTACTAAAATCCAATTGTCATTATTACCATCTTTAAAAAGTAGTATTGTACCATGGCTGGTGCAGCTCAGTGGGTTGAGTACCAGCCTGTGAATCAAAAGGTAACTGGTTCCATTCCTAGTCAGGGTACATGCTTGGGTTATGGGCCAGGTCCCAGTTGAGGGGGCGTGGGAGAAGCAACCACACATTGATGTTTCTCTCCCTCTCTTTCTCTCTCCCTTCCCCTCTCTCTAGAAATGAATAAATAGAATCTTTTTTAAAAAATAAAATAAAAAAGTAGTATTGCTATTTTGCAGTGCTCTTACAGCATGGAGCTGAGCCGACCATCCGAAATACAGATGGAAGGACAGCATTAGATTTAGCAGACCCGTCTGCCAAAGCAGTGCTGACTGGTAAGTTTGTGTACTCTCTGGGTATTATAGGAAGAATATAAAGAATGAGCTTGCTAGGTAAACAGCTTCCTGTGGTTAATGACCTCGACTAGATTTTAAAATAGTGTCAGTTCAGTTATTATATTTTTACATCTAGACAGTTGGCATTTGATTCTTGTCTAAGAAAAGTGAAGTTTTAGGGTTTTTTTTTTTTTTTTAATTCATGTTCCTCCTTCACTATACTGTGCCGCTCTCTGCTTTTATCTTTTTAAAAAAGTCTTGGGACTCAAATGAAGCCTTGCACTAGTAGCTAATATGCAATTAATATTGTGGGCAGCAGTTTGGATGTCATTTCAGCAGATACTATCTATTTTGTTAACTTACGTTTAAATTGTATTTTAAAGGGTTTTTTGTATTCATTATAAATAAAATAGGCATAAAGAGATTATATTTAATTCTGTTTTTACTTGTATACAGTTGTCCTTCGGTGTCCACAGGGGACTGGTTCCAGGACACCCCTCCCCCACCACAGATACAAAAATCTATGGATACTCAGGTTCTTTGAGATGGTATAAACCAATGCGTACAGTTGACTTTCTGAATTCTTAGATACCCACCCACGGATTGAAAATACTATTTTCATTCTGAGGTTGGTTGAATCTGTGGATGTGAAACATGCAGAAATGGAAGGCCTTCTACTTAAAATAGCATTATCATAAAAACAATTTTAGTATTGAAAAATCTTGGATTCACAAGAATGTTAATGATTATGTTCAATTGGTGATGCTATAGATTATCTTTTCTCATTTCTAAATGGTTGAATATTGGATTTTGGGGGGCGTTGGGCTTTTGAATGAAGTTGTACATACATTTTGTGTGTTAAGTGAATAGTAAATAGCATATTGGTTTTAGATAATAATTTAAGGAGTGGAAAGGAAAGGAAAGGTTCTCCTATAACTCTCCACCTAAGGCATACTTTATTCAAATTTTGGTATATTTCCTTTTTTGGCTTTCCTTTTTCTGTGCAAATTGTTTTCATATGATTGCAGTCACACTTGATTATATAGCATTGATTCCTTTTTTTTTTTCCCACTTTTATACATAAGTGTTCCATGTTCTTCAGAAAAAATATTTTTAAACTGTACAATATTCTATTGATTGATCGTTTTCTATTTATTGGAAATTTATTTCCAGATTTATATACTTTAAATATAGTTGATTGAGCATGTTATGCATAAAAATGTCATTACTCTTGTAATTGAGTTTTTCCCCCCCCTCATTCACAGGTGAATATAAGAAAGATGAACTCTTGGAAAGTGCCAGGTGTGTTATAAATATATATCATGAGATCTTTACAATTTACATTTTTTGTTTTTGCAATAAGCAAACTATAATAGAGAGTGAATTTTTTTAAATGTTTGCATAAATGTCTTCAATAGGAACTGAGAAAGACTAGAAATTGCTAATGAATTTTTTGTGTGTATTAGGAGTGGCAACGAGGAAAAAATGATGGCTCTACTCACACCATTAAATGTCAACTGCCATGCAAGTGATGGTAGAAAGGTACTTCCTTTTCCAACTAATTGTGTTAATCCCCTGGTAACATAAGAATGTATTTATCTTATTATAAATTAAAACATCTGATGAGAGTGCTGATGCATTCTTTTAAGCAGTAATTTGGATTTTTTAACTTTAAACCTTATTGAAAATAAACATCTAATCGTTTGCTTCCTGTTTGCAATAATGAACTTACAAACTTTTATTCTATGCTTTTAATAATGTGAGGGATATTTTAAAACCAAATTAATGACTATTTATTTAGACAATAAAGTTATAAAGCTTTTCCTCTGAATTTTTGGTTTGGATTTTTAGCTTTTCAAACGTTTTTTTTTAAGATTTTATTTCTTTTTTTTTTTTAAGATTTTATTTATTTATTTTTAGGGAGGGAAGGGAGGGAGATAAGAGAGAGAGAGAGAGAGAGACAGGGAGAGACAGGGAGAGGGAGGGAGGGAGAGAGGGAGGGAGAGAGAGAAACATCATTGTGTGGTTGCTGGGGGTTATGGCCTGCAACCCAGGAATGTACCCTGGCTGGGAATCGAACCTGGGACACTTTGGTTCCCAGCCCACACTCAATCCACTGAGCTACGCTAGCCAGGGCTGCTTTTCAGACTTTTTTAATTTCAGTATTTGAATTTCATTAATTTTTCTCATTAACATTTCAGTCAACTCCACTGCATTTGGCAGCCGGATACAACAGAGTAAAGATTGTACAGCTGTTACTGCAGCATGGAGCTGATGTCCATGCTAAAGATAAAGGGTAAGTATTTGAACAAAAGTTAGGATTTTGTTCAACAGTAACATTTGAACAAGTGTTACTATCCTTATAATTCTGTAACTTTATAAAAATCATTTTTTTATACTAAACATAAACATTTGAGCTTTTATAATTGCAGATTGCTCTGAGGATACAGGGACTTAATAAAACATTAAGGCAACCACTTTTAGCACTTACACTATACTTTAGGGGGCGTGAAAAAATACCTAACAATACAGGTTGTGTACTACATTTGAGATGATACAGAGGAACACTACTATAGGAGTTCCCAGGAGGGGACTCTTGGTGATAGCTGTAGTGATTGGGAAATCCATTGGGAGGAGATGGTACTTGACCTGGACTCAGTTCAAGAAAGCTAGAGAGTTTAGGAACCATCACTCTGCTCAAGAGAATTAGTGTGAGAAGATGTTGCTAAAGCAGATGTGACAGCATATTTAGGAAACAGTGAGTAGACCAGCTTAGCTGAAGCAGGTGATTCATATAGGAGAGAAATGAAGGTTAAGGTTGGAGAAATAGGTAAGAACCAGGTTTTAGAGGACTTGTTATCTTAGCCTAAACAATTCAAACTTCATTCTGCCAACCATGTTAGCCATTGAAGGATCTCAAGCAAGGAGAATGATTATTCTAGAAGAGGAGTTATAGGAAGTACATTCTGGTGACGATGGAAAAGGTAGACTGGAGAGGGAGAATAGAAGCAATAAAGGAGTAGTTAGGGGAGTGAGTATGGCAGGGATTCGGGCATAATGAAGATATATAGTAGTGGTGGTAGATGAAATGGAAATGAAAAGATAATACAAGATGTAGTTCAGTTTAACGATGGATAAGATTTGTTGACTGTCTGGATGTGATGAGAGTGAAAGGAATAAAAAGATAATTACATTTTGAATTTTAAAGCTGAGTGAGTGAGACACAATGATACACGTACTAAAATCCAAAGGGGAAAATTATTGTAAGGGGGAAAAATTGAGTTCACTTTTAGAACTCTTGGTTTTATGAGATGATGGTAGGAACTCATGTGGAGGTAACTAGCAGATAGTTGGAAATGGAATTAGGGATCAGGCAAGTAAAACATTTTGTAGACAAAAAATGGGAAGGAAAGTCATGAGTCTTTAAAGAAGGGCATATAACTAGAGACTGAGGCCATCACGTACATGTCTGGGGTAATCAGTTGTGAGTAATTCCCGTGGAGGAGCAGCTCACAGATACGTAAAGATTTTAAGGTTCCACTGTGCCTTCTTATGTAGAAAATTCTTCTTCCATTGCAATCACAATGAAATTAAGTTTTAGTTTTATTAAGGAATATACCTTACAGAATTTATCTCAAAGAGGAGTCATTGTTTGAGCTCTGAGTTTGGAAAACATGTTTAGCAGTAAGCCAGGAGGGAGGGAAATCTATCCTACGCCCAGGGGATAGTCCTATGTACAGGCATTTAGGGAACTGCAAGTGGTTTAGTATACTGTTATTGCAGGGTGAGGCTAGAGAGGGTCAGATCATTATATGCCAGGCTAAGCAGTTGGAACCATCTTTTGAAAGCAAGGAAGAACCAGTGAAGGGTGTATAAAAAGGAGTAACCCCATTAGATAACCTTTTGAAAAAATCAGGCCATAGCTTGAGGATCAAATTTAAGTGAGGGTTAATTTCAGTAATACAGGGAGCAATAGTAAAAGCCTGAACCAAAATAGTGGCAGTGTGTGTTGGCCAGGGTGGGGGTTGTGAGGGGCAGAGATAGATTTCACAGAGACTTGGGAGCTATGATTGCTAGGATTTAGGTTCAAGTGGACACGTTTTTATTGAAAGGTCACATAAACCATTTGCTATTTAAATCTAACTAAATTTAAATTAGTCAAAATTAAATAAGTTTAGGGAATCTGTAATAACAGGTGTCCCCCCTCTCATATTGTAGTGATCTGGTGCCTTTACACAATGCCTGTTCTTATGGTCATTATGAAGTAACTGAACTTCTGGTCAAGGTTAGTTTTCTTCTACTTTTTTTAATAATTATATAAGGTGCTTTAAATACATAGTGTATCTATTTTCTATGTGTTTTTAGTGCTCGGTGGATATAGGAGTATTTATAATTATTATAAAATGTAGATGATTGATATGTTAGCATTTGCTTGAGATTTTTGAAATACCATAAGATTTTAAATGTAAAGTGGCACCACCATCTTACAAATAGCAAATTAAGTAATTCTATAATTTGTGGCTACAGAGAAGTTTCAAAACTCTTGAAAAATATCAGAAAGCAGTTTTTAGTGAATCGTATATTGTTACAACCACCAGTTACCTTCGCAACATTTGTACCTTGGGTTGGAACAGGCTCACTGGGTAAGCTTTAATTCTTTCAGTATATTGGGTGGCTATTGTTGAACAGGCAGGTTCTCAGAACTGGCAAGAAATTCCTTATTTTGCTCCCCGTTGGATGAGAATAGAAGATAATATATCCTCCTTTGAGTACATCCAAGGATGTTACCCACACCCCAATTTTTTTTGTTCCCCAGTCTCTGTATATGTATTTGACCATACACTTCTCTCATTCTGCCCCTTGAATATTTTTCCTTATTCTGTCAGCAGCTGTCATAAGAAGGTCATGACAGCTACTGTTTCTTCCATTGGTGGGGAAGGGGGATGTATTCTTTTTCTGAAATAATTGGTTTAAAAAGTGAACTTTGGGAATATAACCTGTTTAAGCTTGTGTGATGTTAAATTACAGACTATTAATAATTCTAAATTCTCTTAAAAATTGAACACTAAGTATGTGCTCCCTTCCCCCCCCCACCCTCAGCATGGTGCCTGTGTAAATGCAATGGACTTGTGGCAGTTCACTCCTCTTCACGAGGCAGCTTCTAAGAACAGGGTCGAAGTGTGCTCTCTTCTCCTGAGTTACGGTGCAGATCCAACACTGCTGAATTGTCATAATAAAAGTGCTATCGACTTGGCTCCCACACCACAGTTAAAAGAAAGATTAGCATGTGAGTATAAAATGATGAATGTTTTGCTAAGATATTATGATATCGAACTAAAAATTATTTCTTGTTTGTTTCTAGAAATGTTTAAATAGTAGAATATTTTCCTTAACCATGGGTTATATGTTTTAGATTAGCATATTTAATCATTTGGAAGTTTCTACTCATTCTGCTCTTAAGAGGCTATGAAATGAAAACGTATTTGTATTGGTTTTTTTGAAGTCAAGTTAAATGCTTTTTACATGTGTTAGTCTTATAGATGGTATGCTTTTGAAAAGAATTTGGATTTGTTCCTAACTTTGATGTGACTTTCTAGTGAAAGTGCCATGAGGTTAAAAGGTTATTTGTTATTTTTCTGAAATAATTTGTTTAAAAAGTGAACTTTGGGAACATAATGTGTTTCCAGGTTGCGGTCTTATAAACATAGTCCCCGGATTTTACCATCTAATATTCTTTGGTATCCGGGCAGTTCTATGGTTTTCTATGTATAGCTGAAGTGTAGATATAGTGAGAAGTAGCCACCTACTTTAGTTTGCTATACATAAATAGGAAACTTACATTATTTTGGAGTATTAAAGGGTAAGGATGGTTTCACAGATCTGAGGAATAGAAGAGAAGAACCTTAAGAAAATATGTAGATGCCTCTTGGAGATACCCATCTTGTCCCGAGTTCTCTGATGTGTGAACAAAGCCATCTGCTACTGCTGTAATGTTAGTGTAGGAACTGTGATCGCCCTCTATTTTTACTGAGAAAATTTCTGTGTTTTAGAAAATTCTCAGAACTCTCTGTCTGGGAATATATCGCAGTTCTCTAGATACCTTCAGACCAAAACAGATCTTGAGTTGGCCATGGGCTACATCTGTGATAGAGTTGGGGATAAACTGGGTCATAACTGAGGTGAACTGGAACACCACTGTTTCCCTTTCTGGGGGTTCTATTTGTCTTTAGACTCTCAGTTTGGCTATTTTGGTAGATAATTTTGAAAATAATTTCAAGAAAAATACTGTGTCTTTTACTAGGTGAATCCTGTCAATTTGACTATTCTCATACAGATTTAAATACTTTTTCTTCATCTAGATGAATTTAAAGGCCACTCTTTGCTGCAGGCTGCACGGGAAGCTGACGTTACACGAATCAAAAAACATCTCTCTCTGGAAATGGTCAATTTTAAGCATCCTCAAACACATGAAACAGCATTGGTAATGTTTCAGATTTAAGTTTTTACAATACAGTAACCAGAAATACGCAAAACTAGTCATTATTCTACCTCTTCTGATGATACAGGGTGACTATCATAATGTCCTCCTACTTTTAGTAATAGCATTGTTTTAAAATCTGTGCTTTTTAAAAATTAATACCTGCTCATATATAAAAAAGTATCAGACAATACAGAAAAATGGACAACCTGAGCCCCGAAATGCAGTGCTATTGCTCATTTGAGTATCCTTCCAGAAAAATGCTTTATGTATGTACTGGATATACTGTGTATAGTTTTTTATTATCATGAATGGTACATATAATTCGCTTTTTTATTATAAAATTATAACTATTCTGTGATTGGAAATTTGAAACCCGCCCTAACCAATGTGGCTCAGTTGGTTGAGCATCCTCCCACAAAGTAAAAGGTCGCCAATTTTTCTCCCAGTTGGAGCATTGTATAGGAGGCAGCCAGTCAATGTTTCTCACATCAGTGTTTTTCTCCCTCCCTTCTCCTCTCTCTGAAAATAAATAAATAAAATCTCTAAAAAAGAAAAGTCGGAACCACTGAAAATAATAAGAAAGAAAGTAATTCTGCCACCAACATAAAAATCACTTGGTTTTCCTTCTACTATTGTGATTTCTTTCAAAATTAGATCTAAAAGTCAGTATATTTTCTCTCTCTATTGTGTGAATAAAGTGTGTGAGTAAAAGCTATTTCCCTGATGGAAATAATGACCCCGGTGGAACTGCAACAAAGTAAATGAGAACCAAGCAGTCTATGAAAAAGCATTCAGAAAAGATGGGAGCTAGTAATCATAAGTGATGGAAGATAGGAAAGGGAATGGTGTAATCAGAGACTACCTTAGAAGCAGAAATTTAAAAGGAAGCAAATCCTGCTGTATGAATTGCAGAATGTGCTTTGAGTGAGGGAAGATGGCCCTAAATAAATTGCCATGTTTAGGGGAAAATTTAACTCATGTAGCCTTACATATCAAATTCCTTTTATGGTTTATTTTCTTCCTTACAATGTGACATAAACTATGTGAAGGTTATGTAGAAACCTATATATAAAACATTGTAGATGGTTTTTTCTACTTGTAAAAATTATCCAGGTAAAACAATAGTAAAGCCACAGACTAATAAGAAACGCTAGTGCAAAATTAAAATCATAACAGCATAAAGATGATACAGAGAGACTTGTAAAGACTGAGATGGAAAATTTTCTGGGTCTGAACAGCTTACACTACATCTTGATTTTTCCCTAAATATTCTGCTATTTAACACCTTAATTTTGTTATTAACCTTAAAACATACTAGGAGTTAAGTACTAGATAGTTGTCCAGGGGCAGTGTCTTCCAGGTTTCCAGAAATTACAGGCCCTGTCCCAGGAAAGGGCAGAGGAATAGAGGAGCAATTTGAAATGAATGCGGTCAAAATTCTTGGAAATAAACTATTTCCAGTCTGTGTACTATCCTATTAGATGCCCTGGAGTGGTTACTCATAACATGCAAAGGAGCTAGGCTTGCCAATTAGGAAGGGTTTTATTGAGAGCAAAGGAATGATTTTTGTGACAGCAACAGCATCAAAAAAATGGATCTGAAACAAAGTCATGAAGATTGGATAAACTTTGTAATTAACATCAGGTCAGAATCAGAAAACAAATTTCCTATGTACTGTGTAGTTAGCTGTATAAAACAACTTAGCTTCTAACAGTTATCTAGAACTTTTATTCCATGAATTTCAGGTTTAAATTTTATCTTTATACACACACACACACACACACACACACACACATTGATTTAGTCATTCACACATTGATTTAGACATTTTTTAAACACCTGTTGTGTATTCATGTCATCCTGGATGTTGAGGATGAAAAGATCTGGGACATGACCACAAGATACTTAACTAAGTTTATAATGAGTGCATCCCTGTCTCCTATCTCTCTTACTCCTTGATATATCATACACATTCATGCTGCCACATCCAGCTTGAAGTGTATCATTTTCTACCACTGATATTTGCCAAGCAGGTAATCCAAGCTCCTTGTTCTGCTGGAACAGCTGATTAAAAGAGAAATAAATACTACTCGTCAACAAATACTGTTCCATCAGCGCTATTAACCAGGCAGCAGCATCCAGAGCTGATGAGAGCTATGTTATTTCTTCATGTAAAGAAACCCCAGCTTTGGGGGCATTTTATTAATGAACCTTTTAAAAATAACATAAGCACCATTCTCAATGGGAATAGTTTTGAGTATTGGTCACATTAATTTAAAATTTTTATCACAGTAGTAGCTTTTTCAAAGATGTAAGAAAAACTATAAAGTTTGATCAGAGTATTTAGTAATAGATGTTATCTAGTAAATAAGATTTTCAGACCCTGCCAGAATTTAGTAATCGTTGCACATTCTATCCAATAGAAAGTCTTTGAGTAACAAAGTTTTTAAAAAGTTGGTCAAAAATAAAAAATTAAAATAACTTCTTGATTGGACACAAATATTCTTAAATAAAAATCAATCACATATAGTCCTTGATTAATGCTGCAATTTAAATTATCTAGCATTGTGCTGCTGCATCTCCGTACCCTAAAAGAAAGCAAATATGCGAACTATTGCTAAGAAAAGGAGCAAACATCAATGAAAAAACTAAAGAGTAAGTATAATTTTAATAATTAAAAATTATTGACTTTTTTTTTTGAAAAATACATTTATTTGGCTGGCTTTTTCTCTTTAAGATTCTTGACTCCTCTACATGTGGCATCTGAGAAAGCTCACAATGATGTTGTCGAAGTTGTGGTGAAACATGAAGCAAAGGTATTACCTCTTTGGTAATCTTTGGTAATCCAGTGAGTTATTTTGTTTAGCAAATGAAATGCCTGACTTTTTAAATGGTTCACTCTCTTATAAGTATTACTGTTTTCCTCTTAATCTGTACTTAAAAATAGTCCTGCAGATACTTTTTCTTTATCAAATTTTTTGCTAGAAATCCTATAGATTTATTCAAAATGACATTTTTCTTATATATCCTTTATTCCTTTTAACCACCACCACCAGTTCACCTCTCCTGCCCCCGCCAACCCCCCCACTCCCTGGTCCAGTTATCCTTAAGGTCTTTTTGTAACATTCTATATAGTCTTCAGGAAAATATCCCTAGCTACAGAATACTGATTCTGACCTATCATATTTTCCAGTATTCTTTTCTCATGTCTTTTGTACCTAGGTTACCATGATAACTCCAGTTATTTACCCCAGCCACAGTCTTTCTCACCCTCTGTTATTTCTGTGACTAAGCCAAAGAACTTGGAACAGAAAATGAATTATTTAAATAACTTGACTAAAAACATAGCTCCCTATATTGGGAAATGCTACTCATATTGGGAAATTAATATTTTTTAGTTGGCATTTATGCACACTGCATTTTATTTGTTGAATAATTAATTATGTTGTCATCCAAGCTACAAATCATTTCTTACCCAGGAACTTTAAAAAAAAAATAACCATCTGTAAAAGATAAACATAGCATTCCAGATAGGGGTGACAGTCACCTAATTCAGGAGTTTTACAAGTTTTTGGGTTTTTTTTTAAAGATACATTTCTTTTTTTAAAATCCTCATCTGAGGACATGCTTATTGATTTTAGAGAGGGGAAATGAGAGAGGGAGAGAAACATTGATGCAAGAGAGAGACATTAATCAATTGCTCATACGAGCCTGGACTGGGGACTGAACCTACAACCCAGGCATGTTTTCTGACTGGGAATGGAACCCACAGCCCTTTGGTTTACCCGATGATGTTCCAACCAACTGAGCCACATGGGCCAAGACAGTTTTTAGCTGCAGACCCTTGCCTTTGAACAACATCGTTAGTAGAAATTTATTATATAACAGAAATAATGAAGCTACTCTGAATAAAGGGAGAAAAATGAAATAGAGATCCCTTCCTCCTTAGATCGCCCCGAGGCTCTTCTCTAAATGTGCTTTGCAGAATAGTTTTCTGATCTGTCCTTCCTTGGGCTTCGCACTCAAGTAACCACTTAGAATTCTACAGTTTCTTTTTCTGTTGCCTCTCAGTGTCTTAATTTCTCTTTGATTTGGGGGAATTCTTGATGATGTATAATTTTCATCTTTCCTATTGTAAATTACTGAATAAAGTTATTTCTGCTTGACTGCTTGTCATATCTCATTTGTCTGTACGTTCTGTAACTTTTCACTACTTGCTTTTTTGTGCCTGAGATGCATTACTAGAAGAATATCCGGATGCATATTAAGTTTGAGTTGTGAAACTCAGTGAAACAAGTCTTGAATAGGGTGGCCAGCCATCCAGGTGTGTCCAGGACTGAGGGAGTCCCAAAATTTTACACAGTATTTTCAGTGCTAAAACTGGGGAAGTCCCAGACAAACCAGGTCACGTTGGTCACACTAATCTTAAAACGGAGTGGTACCCAATTTAAGTTTTCAAGTGAATGTACTTCATATTTTAGTGAGTCTTACCCTGCACATTTTAAATTACTTTTTAAATAAATTACCCTGCACATTTTAAATTACTTTTTCAGATTCCATAGGCTGGAAATGAGCCATTTATATGTAGTCTAGTTTTGGGTTCATTAAGAAAGTTTTACTAAATTCCCGTTTAAATTCTTCCCAATTTCATGAATATAAATTGGACAGTGTCTCAAAACACACTAATGGCCACAGGATTAATTACCAAGGAACTTAATTTCTCAGTTATGTTTTGAAGATTTATTTCCCTGGTTGGGAAGGGTAGAGTAAGGATGAGATGGGGGAGTGTTACAGGTGGGGTTTTTTTTTATGATGAACAGTTTTAAAAATACAGCCAAGTTGAAAGAATTTTATAGAGAATATGTGCCCACAAGCTAGATTTTGTTAACATGTTGCTACATTGCTTTATTACATATCATTTTCTCCCTCTCTCAATATATCTTTATTTTTTTGACATGTCAGAGTAATTTGTACATTATTGCACACTTCTTAAGTACTTTCACATAGGTGGCATCTAGAGGTCAGTATTCATTTACAGGCTTTTTTAAGTGTAAAATTTACATGCAGTGAAATGCACAAATCTTAAGTGTACATTTACTGAATTTTGACTAATGCATACACCCGTGTAATCAAAACTCACCAAGATACAGAGCATTATCTTATGGCAGAAGACAGGACCCCCATTCAAGGCAATCTCCATCCCTAGAGGCAATAATCATTTTTACTTTTTCCTACATAGGTTAGATTTGCCTGTTTAAGGCCTTTGTGTCTAATGAATCATATGATGATTATACTTTTGTGTAAGGCTTTTTCCTCAATATACTGTTTTGGAGATTCATCCACTTATGAATAGTTTGTTCCTTTTTATTGCTCAGAAGTATTCTATTGTGTGAATATTTTATAGTGTATTTTGTAAATACAGGTTATATTTTATTTACATGATAAAAAAAATGTGGATGATTAAGCCAATAGAAATAAGTGTTTTAATGCTAACCTAATCTCTGGATTTGTTACTATTGTCTCTCTCTGGGTTGTTCTCCACATTTCTGGACCTCAGAGAACCATAAAAATACATGGATTAGACTTTCTTAGGCAATGTCTAGCTCTGAATGCAGTAAACTTATTAATACTTTGATGTTAAACACAGCTGTTACTCAACATCTTACCCTTTTAACCCAAAATTGAGTCTTCCTTCTGCTGTCAGCCTTCATGAATTAGTGGATTTATGTTCTAAATTTGGGCACAAATATTTGTTTTGAATAGGCTTCTTAAGAAAATAGTTGAGGATTTTAAATTAGTAGCAAATGTTAAATACATGATTGGATGATTTAAAAATTTGCGTTGAAAGCTAATTTCAGCTTTTTCTGCATTATTCAGGTGAATGCTCTGGATAATCTTGGTCAGACTTCTCTGCACAGAGCCGCACACTGTGGTCACCTACAGACCTGCCGCCTGCTCCTGAGCTATGGGTGTGACCCTAACATCATATCCCTGCAGGGCTTCACTGCCTTACAGATGGGGAATGAAAACGTGCAGCAGCTTCTTCAAGGTATTAACTGCTTCCATGAAATTATTGTTTAACCTTTAAATTTTTTCACACACTATATAAGAGTTGGTAGTAAAAGGAATTTATTTTAGAATTTTTGGCTGTTATTTCTTCCTAACTTATTATAATTAATGTCCAAATGTTGTTTAATCTTTATTAGGATTTTGTTTCAGTAGCATTTTCTGCCCAATTTCTCTGAATAAATAGCTGACTCAAGTTTTTATCTAGAAAGCTTTTATGAGTATGGTACAATAGTAGATATTTCTTTTTAAAGAAGGGAAAACTTTGAAAGGTAGATGTCTCTTGGTAGAGTAACCATAGTGATAAATAATACTTGAAAGACTAGCCCTACTTCTATGCTTTTTTTTTTTTTTTTAGATTTTTCATATGTAGGGCATGTAGATTTTATGCAAGGTAACCAACCATTTGACTTAATACAATTTATTTAACTATTCACCCTTTCATTACATCTAAAAATATTTAGACTAAATATTTATATACAAGTTATAAATATCTACACATATCTTAAAAATTTTAGCCTAGAAATCTGGTCCCATGATTTTAAAGTGTCTTTGCCTACATGTCTACATTTTACTAGAATTTAAGAGTATCTGACATCCCAAAGCTGTAATGAGAAGAAATGTAACAGATCAAGCCTTTTATATCTTCAGTAGTCACACTTGATGAGATCCTTATACCTGTGGTCTAGAAACCACACTTTGAGAAAAACACTCCTTGACTAGGTAGAGGCTGGTTGATAAAACCTCCTGGAAGCTGCCAGAACTGTGAGCTAACCACAGGACTACGTTACTTCCCCGCATACCATGTATTTGTTTCAGTGTCATTTTGGCTAGCCCTATTCAGTTGCCTAGTGAGGGAGATTGACAGTCTTGGTGGTTTTATGCAAAATGCTGTTACCTACTTTTCCAGCTAATTTCTTAGAATAAAGTATCACAGTACAATTCCCAGATCAGAGAATAAATGTAATTGTTAAATCATCTTCTATAAATGTTATGTACCATTTTATGCTCTACTACTAACAGTATATGACAGGATCTGTTTTTTTTGTCAGCCCCTAGGTATTATAATTCTTAATCTTCTCCTCGTGTGAATTTGTGTGTGAATTACAGAAGTAATAGATGCTTTGTTAATACAAATCACAGAAATACTGTCATGTAGCTCCTCCATTTCCTCTTTGCCCACTAATGGATGAAAAATAAAGTGCATTACTTTGCAGTTTTAAGATACGTGTTGTGATATTTTTTCCATTTTTTTCTTTGTCTTACCAATTTGTTTAATGCTTTATTTAATGCCTGGGTAAATATTTTTCCAAATCAATTTTGATTCTGCTTTTGATGTACTACTCCACCACATTTTTCTACTACAAGATAAAAACGCTTACTTATAGTCTCTTCTATTATATTTAAGGTTTAATTTTTATATTTAAGTCTTTAATCCATCTGGAGTTTATTTTGTTCTAAGACGCAAGGTATGTGTTTTTTCCTTTCCTATGGGATTTATTTAAGCTATAAAACAGACTTCCAGACCTGAAAGTGAGTTTAGATATCTTCTAATCCAACTTCTCTCATTTTGAAACTAAGAAAAGTCTGAAGCCCAGAAAGTTCAAGTGACTTACCCCAGTCAGATAGCTAGTTAATGTCAGAACCATGGTTAGATCTCTGGTGGTTGCACTACTCTATTTTTCCACCATTCTACAGGCTTGGTTATAGAGCAGGCCATCTTTCATCATCTATTTTATGTTCCTTTACATTGTCTAAGTCACACTTTATGGTTATTGTTCACATTTACATGTATGTCACTTACATATGTTTCCAAAAAAAGTTTCAAGAAAGTCTTAACTCTTTTTCCTCTAGTACCATAGGTATTTTGTAGATTTTGTAGTAAAATCTACCCAAGTAAAAAAGAACTCTACTTTCAGATAAGATGCCTCCCTTAAAGCTTGGTGGTTCTTCCTTCTAATAGGAGGAGTTAATTGCTCTTTCCTTCTTTTTCTCTTTAGAGGGCATCCCATTAGGTAATTCAGAAGCAGACAGACAACTGCTGGAAGCTGCAAAGGCTGGAGATGTAGAAACTGTAAAAGTAAGAGATGATCGTATGTTTTTTACTTTGAATTTTTAATTTGACAGTGTTTGATGTATCTATACTGTTAAAATGAAGAGCCTAGTTATTTATGTGTACCTTGTTTTAAAAGATAAATAATGCTAATTTAGTTCTGAACATTAGAATCATTAAGTAATGAAAGAAACTTTTTAGTTTTACATATATTTCTGTAAATGCATCACAGTCACAAATTTAAATAAACTGCATGTTTATGGAAATGCATTTTGTTTAAAGGACCTGTACATTTGTCCCTTTAAAAGAATAAGGTATATCCCCCTGACCAGTGTGACTCACTTAGTTGGAGCATCATCCTACAGACCAGGAGGTTGTTGGTTTGAATTCTGGCCAGGGCACATGCCTGGGTTGTGGGTTCGGCCCCTGGTTAGAGAGTGTATAAAAGGCAACCAGTTTATGCTTCTCTCTCTCTCATTGGTGTTTCTCTCCCTCTCTCTCCTTTCCCCATCTCTAAAATCAGTAAGCATATTCTTGGGTGAGGATTAAAAAAATAAGTTATATCAAATTATCGTCTATTGTTGTTTACATTTGACATACAAAACAAAAAGGCAGAAAAAATTAAACAGTGTCTTATTCCATCTATACATTTCTTCTCTGAGGACCCAGTGTTTAAACATAATAATGATGCAGTGTTGCCACTTTTCAGAGCCACAGTCTCCTTATAATCTTAAACTTATCCAAACTGAATTTTTTATTCCTCAGAGGAGCCAACTTCAGCTCTTATTCGGCACCCAATTCCTGTAGTTGTCTTACTTAGAGAAACTGGTTACTTCCTTAGATTTTGCTTTACTTTTCACAACAGGATCATATCTAATGTCTTTAATGCCCATACCAGATATTTCTGTTACCTATCGTAATTGTGTATCCAGCTAAATATGTAACTCAAAAGCCAAACATTTTTGCAAGAGCAAAATTACTTTTTTTTTTTTAATTTTATTTATTTTTTAGACAGAGGGTAAGGAAGGGAGAAAGAGAAAAACATTAGTGTGTGCTTGCATCCCGTGTTCCCCCTACTGGGGACCTGACCCACTACCCAACCATGTGGCCTGACTGGGAATCGAACCGGCAACCCTTTGGTTCACAGGCTGGTACTCAGTCCATTGAGCCACACCAGCCAGGGCTAACTCAGCATGTTTTACGCGTTTTAGTAGTCCCATAATTTTTTTTCATTTTGGAAAACTTTTTTTTTCTTTTTTGGCAATTATGCTGTTTTCATTTCCAAAGCTACTAAGAGAAAAAAACTTCGTTGTACCCCCCTATTCACCCCACATGTTTTCAAAGCAGTGCGAGTCCTATTTTAGGGACCATTAGTAGGTAATAAGAAGTTCTATAAAAACCTGAATATATTGATTTGATTCACAGGAGATGTATCTATTTGAAGCAGTATCACCATATTTTCATATGGTGTTCTCCATCCTGAACAAACCCACCCTGCAAAGACAGTTTTAGATTTTTCTGAGAACAGAATATGAATGTTAGTCTCATCTGAACTTGAACATTGAGAAAATTTATTCACTATCCTTTCAAATAAAGAGATCTCTGGAAGTTGATTTAAAAGTTCATGGATCCTATCCTACTGCTTTATCTGTGTAGGTAGTACAGCTATTCCCAAATAACTTCAGGTTTTATTTTTAAAATAATTTCATTTTTTAAAGAAAGATAGTATTATAATTGCAATCTTAAATGTTTGACGAGTTTTATATTTCCATTCTTAGTCAGTTAAGTAGGCGGCTAAGAGGATATTGACAGGAGGATTTTGTTTCTATTACTGGCTACTGGTTTGTGGAAAAGCAAATCACTTGAGTTAAAGGTAATGAACCAAAATATTTCCTGCAGAAGTGATCAAAAATTAAGTTAAAGGAAACTTTAAGTTCAGGTAACTTAAGTTAAACTTAAAGGTAACTACTTAGTTAAAAGGCAACTAGCTGATTTTTTATTGGGGGTGGGTGATAAGAAAAATGCTTGTCTACTTATATATGTTAAAGAATATAAACCTATATTCAGTATAATAATAGTAAAGACAAGACTATTTTTGTAAAGTTAGAAAGAGTCTAGAGGAAGAAACAGATAAAGAGGTGAAATAGGGGACAGGAATTGGATTTAGAGAATAAAATAATGCAGTTGGATTGAGAAAGACCTTCTTCTCTCCCTTCTTCTCTCAGACTAGTCATCAGGCTGTCTTCTTTCACCTCTCCTTTTAACATCAGTTGATAGAACTTTGTCTTCATCCACTCTTCTATTCCTTATCTAGCTGTAGACAGGTAAATCACTGGGACAATAACATCTGCATATTACCCAGTGCATACTTATGTGCTCACTTATGTTTTGTGGTGATCCATAGACTAGATGCTTCCTATTAGAAAACCTTCTCAGTCTGGATAAAACTAAACTGACAAGTAGGGAGTAGTGTGGCTAGTGATAACTACCAAACCTAGCACCTGGCATATGTATGACAAAATACTCAGTCTTAGAGCCTGACACCAGACCATGAGATGCCATCTCTCATATGGGACCCTGAATCTATATATCTGACAACGTCTTGTTTGGATAGCATAAAAGAGCTTTATCAGTCCTGTGATTACACACCACTTTCAGAGGTTAAACCCCTGAAAGTTGATCCTTTGGTTTATTGGCACTAGGTTATTCTACTTTTAGGGTAGGATAGTAAAGAGAGAAGGGTTTTTACTTACATTGATAATTCATTTGACTTTTTTTGAGCTTCATGATTTTTATTACTGGTGTTGCTTTGATTCCCCAAATGCTCATGCAAAATACTCTTAAGTATTTTGAGTGTTGCCATACTCTTACAGCCTTTCTCAGCTAGGCATTATCCTCTAAACCAAAGAACACAAATAATTATTTGATTGACTATTTTCTTCTCCCAAGGATGGTACATAAACAATAGCATTCTATTAGTTAATTCATTCCATATTGTGCAATATAATTCTGTAAATGTTGTTCCATGACTACCAGCATCAGCACCACCTAGGAATTGGTTAGAAATGCAAATTCTCAAGCCCCAGGCAAGACACGCTGAGTTAGAAAAGCTGGAGGTAGGACCGAATGCACATGAAAATTCGAGAATCACTGGTCAAGAGCATTACTTTCTCAATCTTTAACATGCTTACAGATCACCTAGGATCTCATTAAAATGCTAGTTCTGACTCAGTAGATGGGGGTCTGAGATTCTGAGTTTTCAACAAGCCCCAGGTGATTCTGATGCTTTTATGATGCAGTGTACTTCCACATATATTTGCCAAAAGTGCAAGTTATAATTGCTAATAATTCATACTTAGAATACCTTTATGTAAATAGTAGTAGTGGTAATGATAATATTCACCTACTAGTTTTAGCAAAAGAAGATGATATAGGTATAGAGGACCAGAAGGATTCCCAATAAGTGACAAGATGAAATAAGAATAAATAGCACCCTGGCCAGTGTGCCTCAGTTGGTTGGACTGTCATCCCATAACCAAAATGCTGCAGGTTTGATTCCTGGTCTGGGTGCATAGAATCCCTAGTCTGGGCGCATATAGGAGACAACCAGCCGGTGCTTCTCTCTTGCATCGAGGTTCTCTCTCTCCCTTCCTCTCTCTAAAAGCAATGGGGTAATGTCCTTAGGTGAGGACAAAATGAATTTTTTTTTTAGGTTTTATATATTTCTCTTTAGAGAGAGGGGAGGGAAGGAGAAAGGGAGATAAATAAACATCAATGTGTGGTTGCCTCTTAAGGGCCCCCTACTGGGGACCTGGACCACACCCCAGGCATGTGCCCAGACTGGGAATTGAACCAGCAATCCTTTGGTTCACAGGCCAGTGTTCAGTCCACTGAGCTACACCAGCCAGGGCAGGACAAAACAAAACAAAATTTTTTTTTAATTTTTTAAAATAAATAAATAGCAAATAGTTTCTGAGGATGCTGAATTGATGAGACAAAAAATAACTCAGATATTCAAAAATTCTACTAAATGAATGAAAACAAGAAACCAGAATGTGTAGCATCATGTGTTTTCTGGGTTCCATCCTATAGAAATTGTGTACTGTTCAGAGTGTGAACTGCAGAGACATCGAAGGGCGTCAGTCTACACCACTCCATTTTGCAGCTGGCTATAACAGGGTGTCTGTGGTGGAGTATCTGCTGCAACACGGAGCTGATGTGCATGCTAAAGACAAAGGGCAAGTACCAACAATTGCCATGACCTCTCTTTCCATTACCAGACCTTTTTAGAAAAATCCGAAAATATTTTTATGATAGTTGTCAGCTCTTTATTTGCAGGGACATCTGTTCTTTAACATTAAATTAAATTTAGCTTCTTCATTTTAGTTAAGATTTTATGATGGTTAGCATTTATAATCAGACTTACTTGCATAATTCCCTGTATTTTACAATAGCCAAGGAGATTGCAATGTTAGTGTAATATTGATTTAAAATTCTTTTCAATTTGCTTTCAGGATATTTAAATTCTTCCAGTTTATCTTAAAATTATTTTTCTCTAAAAATATACATTTCCTAATTGTAGATATTGAGTATGTATGTTTGTTATATTCTCTGTAATTTTAAATATTTCATCTTTGCCAGCACCCCAAAAATAATTCCACTTAGTCTTTCAATAAATATTTATGTTCTATAAAGTATAATCAGTATAATCCCTTGTAGAGTTCAAGAAATTTATCAGCTGTATGTAATTATTTAAATTAAAACATATTTTTGTGTTGTATTATTTACTTTTTTTTCCAGAGGCCTTGTACCTTTGCACAATGCATGTTCTTATGGACATTATGAAGTTGCAGAACTTCTTGTTAAGCATGGAGCAGTAGTTAATGTAGCCGATTTATGGAAATTTACACCTTTACATGAAGCTGCAGCAAAAGGAAAATATGAAATTTGCAAACTGCTGCTCCAGGTATATTTAAGTACTTCTATTCACAGAGTATATTACATAGAATATGTTTGAGACTTCTGATTCTAATGGAAACTTAAACTAGTAATTATCTAGATTTCAGAATAGTATTCAGGAATAGTACTTTAATCTATGAGTATATTTATCACACATAGATTTATTATCGTATAAAGTCGATTATCATTGCCAAATTGTTCTGGTAATGTTAAGTTTCTTATTTAGTACTTTAACTTCAAAATAGTTCATGGATTGTGTAATGTCTAAGCCAGATTTATTGAACACTAATGAAGTTGATAGTACTGGTTCAATACAGGTATCGGTGTAGATATTTTACAGTAAAAACAAGAATAAAGTTTGAATTTATGCTTCATTTCAGTGTTTTAAAAAACTAAAAATGACATACATAAAAGTTCATTTTTAATGAAATATTTTAAGTGTGGTTTTTTGTATATTAAATATTAATAACAGTCATGTTAACCTTTAAGGTTAGAGTCTCAGCAGAAAATAGGTTTTTTAAAAATAGAATTACATTGCCTGTTTTCTCATTGACCAAGTACAAACTTGAGTCAATTCCTCTTTTCTACTTTTTCACATGTCCAGCATGGTGCAGATCCTACAAAGAAAAACAGAGATGGCAATACTCCTTTAGATCTTGTTAAAGATGGAGATACTGATATCCAAGATCTACTTAGGGGAGATTCAGCTTTGTTAGATGCTGCCAAGAAGGGTTGTTTAGCCAGAGTAAAGAAGTTGTCTTCTCCTGATAATGTAAATTGCCGTGATACCCAAGGCCGACACTCAACACCTTTACATTTGGCAGGTAAGGGAATGATGTTTTGCACATTTAGGCTGGTGACTCCTAAGATTCATTTTACCTGAGTGAAATGTTTTCTACAAGTAAACATAAAGAATTCAAATCAGATATCTTCTAATACCACTGTTACACTCTATAGTGTATTTGTACAGAGCAACACTTGTCCATAAAGTGAACTTCATGTTCTTCACTCTGCTGGTCACCATGTGCTTTGGAACTTTTATTTCAGGTTACCATGTTATTTGAATCATCTTTGATACATAAGTTTAGGGTACAGACACTTGAAAAATATGCTTGCTTGAGCTAGCCCTCCTCATGGGAAGCTAAAGCTTTCTTCTAATGATAGCTGTTAAGCACAAACAGAAAAAAAAGTCTTAAAAGACTTTCAGAAGTTACATAAATCTCTTGCCAAAGTTATTTCTTGTATTAGTTATAAAATACCATAGACGGGTGGCTTAAACAACAGAAATTTATTTTCTCACAATTCTGGAGATCAAGATGTTAAGGACTGGCTTCTCCTGAGACCCTTCTCGTTGGATAGCAGATGACCGCCTTCTCACTGTGTCCTCACATTGCCTTTTCTTTGTTGGGCAGACATCCCTGTATGTCTCTTTCTATAGGTCCTAGATCTTCTCTTATAAGAAACCAGTCAGATTGGATTAGGACCTAGTCTGACTGGCCTTGTTTTAATTGAATTACCTCTTTAGAGGCCCTGCCTACAAATACAGTCACATTTAAGGTACTGGTGGTTAGAGCTTCAACATAGGAATTTTGGAGCACACTTGAGTACATAATATATGTTCTAAGTCTTCAATAAAAATATGCACTCTGCACCTTCATTTTTAGCACACGTATACAACATTGTGGCTTCAGTACAGCTTTTTCACCTGCATTGAAGATGCTAGAGTTTGGGCCATTAAAATCACTGAGCCCACAGCATAGGCAGTAGACTTGTGTCATAGACATGCTTGACTTATACGGCTTTATCTATATACACATGGTTTAAAAAGAGAAAGTAGATAGTGCAGGTGTTTCTGCCTCTCTGTAACATGGGAGATGGAAATCTATTCTTCTCCCAATTCATTTCGGTCTCTGTAGGAGTAACTGTTCCTGGTGTTCAAGGGATGGTTTTGGTTATATGTAATTTTCACCTTTACATTCTCACCCCATGTAAGTTGGGACCCCACTATCCAAGGAAAAGTACTCCTCCATCTATGTATCTGCTAGAGAATTTTAGAAGTGATAAGCCACAAATGGTAATATGGTGAGAAAAAGCTTTTCTACTTCCACTGCCCATCAGGGGTTTCTAGTTCATGCAAGACTAGATGTGTGTGACCTGACCTCTGATTTGAATTGTGGTGTGTATTTTTATTTATATTAGCTTCTTATATTTTTATGGAAGCTTATCTACAACACTTAACATTAATATTTAAGTTATTTGTCTTTGTAAATGATAAATGTGTTGTATATACAAAATATTTCCACCCTCTTCAGCAGTATTATACCTTGAGACCTAGAAGCTACGTATCAATGTAATACTTAGCTTATGGCAGTTTCATAGTTTCGTTTTTTTCTTTACTTGATCTTAATAAATTTTTTTGCTTTAGATCCTTTAGCAAAAGGATGAAAACTACAATAAAAAAAGTAAATATGAATAAAATATTTTGAACTATTTTAAAGGTTCAAGTCATATCTGGTTTTATTTTGGCAAAGCTAAGTTCCAGATTTGCTTTCAATCTATGAATATATGTCAAAATATACTTCACCATAAGAGTATGTACTAAGATAGGTGACAGTTCCCAAGATGACAGCTAAGAGGTTATGACATTTGCAAAATAGTAAGTTGCAGTTGACAGCAATACATAGGTCCTGCTGTTAGACTTGTAGGTATGTGTACTCCTCTAGTGTACGTTCTCTAGCAAAAAGCATGACTTTGTGGCCTTCTGGAGAATTAAGGTCCTGAGACCCACACTGGGTAGCTGTCTTCTGCTCTGTCAGCCACTTGTGTTCCTAACTTAGCTTTTATATGTTTGAAAGTCTTTTACTTGTAGCCCTTTTCTGGAAGTTGTATATAACAACCATGAAGGCAGGGACTTTGATAAGAAGGTTTTTAAAGATACGGGCAAATCAGTCAGGTTCTCTAAAACAAATGGGTGTCATAACTGAGAGCTTCCAGCTTGGGGCCAGTAGGCAGATTTTTTCCCATAAGATAAACTTGTAATAGGCTTCAATGGGGAATTTCAGATTTCTATAAATATATGTAACTAATTTTTATATTAACAATTAAAAGTAATTTTACTTCTTTTCTAAATCAGCCGGTTATAATAATTTAGAAGTTGCAGAGTATTTGTTACAACATGGAGCTGATGTGAACGCCCAAGACAAAGGAGGACTTATTCCTTTGCATAATGCAGCGTCTTATGGGGTGAGTTCTTCATGTTAACTTGAAAAATCTCTGAGATTTTCAAAGTGAAAATCAGTATTGCAGTTCAACAGGAATTTAGTTTGACTTTCTCATTTTATAGAGAAGTAAATATGAGAGCTAAAGAAAGATGTTAAATAACTTCCAAGTTTTAGTTCTGAATCTGTTGTAAGCCTCCTGTGCGATGTGCAGCACATTTGTCATTTATTGCCTTACCATCTATCTCTTATTTTCACTGAGCTTTTAATGTTTTTTGGTTTGTTTGTTTGTTTTTTGGTGCCCAGGAGACTTGTTGGGATTCATAGGAATCTGTAGGTTCAGATGCATTATCCCTGACTTTTTACTTCCCTAAATGTCACAACCAGTATTGACTATCTTCGGTAGTATAATTTGAGTAATTGAGGAAATCTGCTGATTTATAAATTGATATTTGTCAGTTATAACATGTGAATAAATGAGAAATTGCTAAAGTCCTATTGGTTTAGTTCCTTTTTTTAGAGAATTCTTCATATTTTCTAGATAATTTCTTAAGTAATTTGAATGTCTACTGCAATTTTAAATTAACTACCCATAAATTATGATGTTGGGGAGAAACAGTTTTTCCTTTCCAGACTAAGTATGAAAAGAAGGAAAAATAAGTATATGGCTAGTTTCTTTTTAGAAACTAAAGTGTGATAAAATTTCAGACTATAACAGGATTGTTTTCTTTTACAGCATGTAGATGTAGCAGCTTTACTAATAAAGTATAATGCATGTGTCAATGCCACGGATAAATGGGCTTTTACACCTTTGCATGAAGCAGCCCAAAAGGGACGGACACAGCTTTGTGCTTTATTGTTGGCCCATGGAGCTGATCCTACTCTTAAAAATCAGGAAGGACAAACACCTTTAGATTTAGTTTCAGTAAGTGATGGGCTTTTTGAAAAATCTTAGCACTTTTCTCACTTTTAGAAATACCCTTGGTATATATAAAATGTCTTCATGATGAATGTGTAAAATCTGGTTTTTAGCCCAATTTAAATGTAGGACTTTTTTGGTGTTAAAATATACTAATTAAACAGGATTGTCAGTTATTGTGTTTTAAATAGTTTGGGGAAAAGATGTATATGGTGTAGCTGCTTACATTAGTTGGGAAACAAAACAGCACAGGACTCCACCAAATGCTGTTACAGTGCATGTGGTGCAAGATAGTACCCGAAACGGGCCTTGATGAATTTCCCCAGCTGGGGACATTATCCTCAAGGTGCAGCCATAAAGCCTGCTTCTGCTAGATTCCCTTCCACACCACCTCATGCCAAAGTTCCTTTGTCTTTCCCCACTAGAACTGTTCATGAACAGACTTGCTCCTCTAGTTTTCTGCAGAAGCCATTTTTCCTCTCCTGAGGGAAACTCCTCAAGAATCTGTTCTAGCCTCTGCCTCTGCTTTGGCCACTGTAACACAGGTGCTGTCTTGTCTCCACCACTAGGAAATTGATCAGAGCAATGCAGGGAAAGGGAAAAGAAAGTCTTGAGGGAAGAAGGGATATGTCCTCTGCGGACTGCTTTCTCCTGAGAGAGAGAGAGAGAGAATCCATTGTTACAAGTTACATTGAGAAAGCTAATTTAGTTCAGCTGCATTGTGGGTTAAATAGGTTTTTCTCAGGGTTACAGCCCAACCATATTTGCAACATTTTTATAGGGAAATGTATTTCCCATTCCAGCTACCTTCAAAGTGAACTTTCCTTATTCAATCCACGTATTCATTAGTCCACCAGGTATAATTGGCAATGAAACAGAGTGCTCTAGAGAACATGTATGGGCTTTAGAGTCAGAGTGCCTTAGATTTCCAGCTCTGCCACTTACAGTTACACAGTCTTGTAAGTTGCCTAACCTCTAAACCTCAGTTACCTCATCTATAAATGGAGATAAAATATATCTGGTTAATATGAGAATTAAACACAGTAATAGTGTACTTAAAGTCCTTGGCATGTACCGGGTACATAAAAAGCACCCAATAAATGGTGCTAATGTTATTTTAAAATGTTGTATACAAACTGTGAGTCCCATGAGAGTTCTTAGACTAGAGGGAACAAGAAGATAAAAATCAGAATATGCAGTATAATTAGTAACTAACCGTGGAAACAAGTACTGGTTTACTTCTTGCGGAATGTTAACTAATTGAGCATTGGGAGAGAATGGTGTATGTCTCTAATTAAACAAATTAATGTACCAGTAAATTTGGGGATTTTTTTCAATTCTAGCATATTTCATTAAATTCTTACCTTTGTTACCTCCTCTCAAAATGTTCAGTTTTGAAGAATAAGTATATTATTAAATATTTTCCAAGAAACAGTCATTATGTTTGTTAAAGTTCTGTGTAGGTTGAATTACTTCTTTCAGAGTAATTGTGAATGTTAAAAGCTTTAACATTGATATTTAAGTTGATATTTTCAAAACAAACTGAACTAACTAGCAAAATCAATACAGACTATAGATAGGCTGACAGCTGGGGGGTGGGGGAGCAGTTGGGGAGAGGGGTCAAGCAAAAAAGAGAAAGAGCTCCCAGACATGAACAACAGTGTGGTGATTGCCAGGTGGACAGACTGGGTGGAGGTGGCAAAAGGTACAGGGGGAATAAATGGTAATGGAAAAAATACAATAAATTAAAGTGAAACCATTGATATTTTTAATTGTAGTATCAAATTTGTGGGTGTTTTCATGCTTTGCCACATTAATAGTTTTGATTCTGTGTCTTGGAATAGATGTTCTCAGTTATGTTTTGTATTTAATAACAATATAGCTGAATATAATTTATTTGCTTCACTTTTTAAAATAATCATTTTTATATTAAAAGCAATTCTAGTGCAAATCTGCTGGGGTTTGTCATATTTTAAAGTGCATTCTATTGAGGATAGTAGAATTTAAAAACTTGCTTATTACAGATTTTGTCTCTTTTGACATGTACGTTAGGCAGATGATGTCAGTGCTCTCCTGACAGCAGCCATGCCCCCTTCTGCTCTGCCTTCTTGTTATAAACCTCAAGTGCTCAATGGCCTGAGAAGCCCAGCAGCCACTGCAGATGCTCTGTCTTCCGGTCCGTCTAGCCCATCAAGTCTTTCTGCAGCCAGCAGTCTTGATAACTTGTCTGGGAGTTTTTCTGAACTGTCTTCAGTGGTTAGTTCAAGTGGAACAGAGGGTGCTTCCAGTTTGGAGAAAAAAGAGGGTGAGATTCTATAAAAGCAACTTTCTTACTCATATTATAGCATATATTTGACATTTAGAATGCTAAGAAGTCATTTTTTAACTTTAACTTCGTATCAGATTAACATACTGTCATCTGAAAGTTTTAGCCTTTTATTCTTTTTCTTACATTATTGTATTTCCTAATGACACTTTCTCCTTCCAGGTTGAGCCTTGATTCTGCTAACCCTCTCTCTTTAGATATAAATATGCTTTTTTAAAGGTTTAGAAGCCCTTTTGGTTGAATAATTATGCCTTTATTTACCTCTTCCAGTGTATTATTACAGGGTTACAGAATACTTTTTATCCTGTGTCAAAATACCAAAACTTTGAAGATCATTTTTGAAGATCAAAGATAAAAATACACACACATAACCTGCATTCTCGAAAAGCTGTTCTCTTTACCTTTTACCTGTCAAAATTTGTCTCACATTATGTGACATTATAAAACTTTTTTTCATAAATTTTTTTCTGAAGTAGCTTACATCCTCAAATACAGGGAAAATTTTTTTTAGTGGAGATAAAATTGACATGTAATAGTAGTTTTCAGCTCTATAAAAACTTATTTTAAAGATAGTTAAAAATAAATTTTTTTAATGAAAAGCTCTTTTTTTAAAGATTTTATTTATTTTTAGAGAGGGAAAGGAGGGGGAGAGAGAGAGAGAGAGAGACATCAGTGTGCGATTGCTGGGGGTCATGGCCTGCAACCCAGGCATGTACCTTGACTGGGAATTGAACCTGCAACACTTTGGTTCGCAGCCTGCACTCAATCCTCTGAGCTACGCCAGCCTGGGCGGAAAGATTTTTTTAACCTGAGATGTCCTGTTGGTAAACTGTTTCTTCTCATTATGAATCTTATAGCATTCTCTTTGCAGCTTTTGACATTTTGTTTAGTATTCTATCCAAAGTAGCTATTAATATTTTGCTTCATTTTTACTTTCTTCATGTGTATAGTAATATTACAAAGCTTTTTAATAACAGTACCTACTATTCTAATGGTGACTTTTTTTGTTCTGGATTTCTTATTTTCCAGTTCCAGGGGTAGATTTTAGCATAACTCAATTCGTAAGGAATCTTGGGCTTGAGCACCTAATGGATATATTTGAGAGGGAACAGGTGAGTTGATGAATTGTTTTGCTTGGTTTGGTGTTTTAAGGACCCTCACGGGACATGTTTGAAATGTTCAACTTGTTTGGGGGTGAGGGAGGGTATTTTTTTAAGAGACTAGAAATCAGTTACTCTTCTAACTTGGCTTGATCATGGAATTTCTGTTCAGTGTATTAGCACATAAAATTGGCTCTCGTGTAGTGATAGTGAAATAACTTTCTTGAATGAAAAGTTTATCTTATTCAACCCTGAAAATAAATTAACCTTGAGCCCCATTTGTTTAGTTCTATTGTGTTGGTCACTTCCCACTGGAAGCCTGGCGCTTCACTAGCTGCTGTGTAGATGTGCCAACTATATATCTGTGCTCCTCCAGAATAGTCCCAAATTACAGTACTCTTTGTCGAAATACAGTTACAGGTTTTTTGGTTCAGAACATATAGTTACTATAGACTTGTACCCTGAGGAACTTCTGATTTAGTTAATGGAGCTGTAATAGGAACATATGAAAAGTTAAGATTTTTTGGCATCAGTTTTAGAAAGTCAAAGAAAAGATTACTGTGAGCTAGACTATTCAGAGAGAGCTTCATGGAACACATGTGATTTTAAAAGAAGAGGACTTTTAAAAATGCGTTTAGTTTCACAAAGTGGGAATAATATGTTTGAGATAAAAGGATTAATTTGATAAGTGATGCATAAGTACCAGTTAGCATAGTCTGGAACTTGGGAGAACCATTATATGAAAGGGTTGGGGGTAGAGGGATGATGGAAAAGATAGAAAACTGTACCTGAGTTGATTAATTGGACAGCGCTTTTTTTTAAATATATTTTATTGATTATGCTATTACAGTTGTCCCATTTCCCCCTTCTCTCCCCTCCACCCTGTACCCCCTCTCCCACCCACGTTACCGCCTTTAGTTCATGTCCATGTGTCATACTTATGAGTTCTTTAGCTTCTACATTTCCTGTACTATTCTTGCCCTACCCCTATCTATTTTCAACCTACATTCTATGCTACTCATTCTCTATACCTTTTCCCCCTCTTTCCTCCTCCCACCCCTCTGCTGCTAGCCCTCCATGTGCCCTCCATTTCTGAGGTTCTGTTCCTGTTCTAGTTGTTTACTTAGTTTCTTTTGGTTTTGCTTTAGGTGGGGTTGTTAATAATTGTGAGTTTGCTGTCCTTTGACTATACATGTCTTTTCTTTATCTTCTTTTCTTAGATAAGTCCCTTTAGCATTTCATAAAATAAGGGCTTGGTGATGATGAACTCTTTTAATTTGACCTTATCTGAAAAGCACTTTATCTTCCCTTCCATTCTAAATGAGAGCTTTGCTGGATAGAGCAATCTGGGATGTAGGTCCTTGTCTTTCATGACTTGGAATATTTCTTTCCAGCCCCTTCTTGCCTGTAAGGTCTCTTTGGAGAAATCAGCTGACAGTCTGATGGGAACTCCTTTGTAGGTGACTGTCCCCTTATCTCTTGCTGCTTCTAGGATTCTCTCCTTCGTTTTTACCTTGGCTAATGTAATTATGATGTGCCTTGGTGTGTTTCTTCTTGGGTCCAACTTCTTTGGGGCTCTCTGAGCTTCTTGGATTTCTTGAAAGACTGTTCCCTTTGCCAGATTGGGGAAGTTCTCCTTTATTATTTGTTCAAATAACTTTTCCACTTGTTGCTCCTCCCCTTCTGGTACCCCTATAATTCAAATGTTGGAACGTTTAAAGGTGTTCTGGATGCTCTTAAGCTTTTCCTCGATTTTTTGAATTCTTATTTCATCATGCTTTCCTGCTTGGTTGATTCTATCTTCCTTCTGGTCCACTGTATTGTTTTGAGACTCAGATTCCTTCCTTTCACTATTGGCTCTCCTCCGCATATCTTCCTGAATCTCTTTTATGGTAACCTGCATCCTTTTATCTAAATTGCGCCCAAAGTCAACCAATTCCATGAGCTTTCTGATCACCAGTGTTTTGAACTGTGCATCTGATAGATTGGCTATTTCTTGGTCGCTCAAAAGGATGAGTCCTGGGGGACTGATCTGTTCTGTTGGAAACATGTCTTATGTCTTTCCCTGTCCTTTTTTTTTTTCCGGTCTGGTTGCTCTTGTTACGGTGGGGGGGCGGAGCCTTAGGTGTTCACCGGGGCTGGGCGCCCCAGTCGCTAGATTGTGACGTTATTTGTGGGGGCGGGGACGGGAGGGAACAATGGCGGTAGTTCCGTTCTCCTGGTCTCAGACCCTTCTCTGGGCTCCTGGGCTGCGAGCTCTGCCCTGGTCCACAATCACTGACCCACTGGGTCCGCCCGCCGCAGCTTGCGCACTCAGGGATCACCACTGCATTCTTGCTCGCCCCGGATGGCTGTCGCACTGATTTCACGCCAAATTTTCCCCGACCTCCGCGTACCACGGACCCGCGCCAGCCCCGTCCCGCCCAGCTCGTCGTTTCCTACCAGTCTGGACATACGAGTCTACTTCAACTTCTTGGCTGTCCAACTTCCATTCAGATAAATCCTCTGTCCGCTCTGAGTGTCGTTCTATCTGTAAATTATTGTTGTTCTATTCTTGGTTGTGCGAGGACTTCTGGTGCATCCACCTATTCCTCCATCTTGCCGGAAGAGGGGACAGGGCTTTTTTTGTTCCCCAGTTTCATTCTTCTCAGGTGCTTATGCTAAATGATAACAATATTTTTGGTAGTTCCTGCCTCAACTTTAATTAAGTTAGCTAGTTAGCTAATTAGCTGCAGCTTTTTATTTTCAGTTTCAGTTTAACAACTGATTTACTTTTCATTCCTAAACTGTTCAAAAGGTAATTTGAAGTAAATGTGCGAATCTAATACATTGTGAGATCACCAATATATGAATGTCCACCAAATAAGTAAGTCTTCTAAACTGTTTTATCTTTTGTAAGATCACTTTGGATGTATTGGTTGAGATGGGGCACAAGGAACTGAAGGAGATTGGAATCAATGCTTACGGACATAGACACAAATTAATTAAAGGAGTTGAGAGACTTATCTCTGGACAACAAGGTATTTCACTTTAAATCATTACTGTTGTCAGTTTAACAGTTTCCATAAAAGCAGTCTTCAGTTTACTAACTGCTAATGTAAAAATCTGTAGAAGTCCATTTGATACAAAGATCTTTGGGAAACCTGGAATCAAGTCTTAACTCTGCTACTATTAAGCTTCCTGAGCTGCTGCTGTTTACTATATGACCCTAAATAAAATTTCTGGGCCATTTTATTTCTCCTGAATGTTAATACTTAAGAAAATACAAATTGCATTTTTTCAGTAGATGTTAACACTTCCTATGAACCAGGTCCTGAGTAAAAATGATGGATTAATTTAGGTCAAAAATAACTATTTACTTACTTACTGAGAGAGGGGATGGGAGGGAGAGAAATATCAATGTGTGGTTGCCTCTCACATGCCCCCTACTGGGGACTTGGCCTGCAACCCAGCTATGTGCCCTGACTGGGAATCAAACTAGCAACCCTTTGATTCGCAGGCGGGCACTCAGTCCATTGAGGCACACCAGCCAGGGCCAAAAATAACATTTTAACTTCATTGTTAAATTAAAGAAGTGATTTACTCTGGGGTTAGAAGTAAATACACTCTACTTGTCTGGTAGGGTCTAAGGTAAAATGTTTAAAATGTGAGATAGTCTTGGATATTTATACTAGAGATGACAAAATTTTTATAAGATAAAGAAGAAGGAAAACCCATGGCTCCCTGGAATGTTTATTATACAATATAAATTGCATCAAAAATGAAGAGGAACTAGAACCCTCAGTCATGGACTGCCACTGCGACTCTCCTACAGTATACCATCTGGTAGCGTAGCAAGTGTGGTGGAGTACTTGGAACAAGGGCCATTGAGGAAAGAGTTGGGTTGAAAGGGAAGCAGGCAGGGTTCGTACAGGAAACACATTATAGTACCTGGCACACAGTAAGTCTGCGCTGAAAGGCTCAGGAAGCAGTGATGGAAACAAGACACTGCCTCCAGTTGGTGGGTGTACGTACCTCCATACCACCTCTTGCCTGACCTAAAAGCCTTAGCTATTATTTAGTGCATAAAGGCAATAGATTACTTGTCCTGCTGTTTCAGCACTGATAAGCATCTGTCTTCAGGGTAGTCCAAAGATGGCTTCATCAAGCATTTGTCCAGTCTTTATTCTGTTAAGTCTTTATTCTGTGAAATAGTCACCTCTATGTAGTCTCCCTGCTTTCTATAGACATTGTAATTCAGCCATACCTATTAGTCTTTATCAGAGTTTGGCATGTTGGTTATTATTCAGACCAAAACTCAGAATAGTCTCCAGAGGCAAACCATCATGCACTGACCCAGCAGTAAAAGATTTGATCCCTACCTAGGAAAATGGCAGAGCTTTGGATTTCTTGTAGAGATTAAAGGAGATTTGTTACAAATATACCAAGGAAATGGGGAGATTCTGTTTAAAGTTCCACTTGAAAAGCTGTGTGAGAGTAAAATTAGAAAAATATGGCTGTCTGGACCATTGATATCCAGGAAGCATGACATTCATTGCACTGAATTAAAGACTTATGGGCTAGAATAAAGTATTCAGTAGTTAGTAAACTTTATGGACTTCTCAATCTAGGATGATTTAAAATTAGTTGAGATCATGCAAGTTTCATCGTAATTCTTCCTCCTACTTAGAAAAGATAAAGGAACTAAATGCTGAAGGGGCTGCACATGTAGTAAAGGAGATAATTCAAAGAAAATAAACTCATTAAGAAAGGGGGATAAAGAATAGAAAGATTTTTCTGAACCATTCCCATAAAATCCTTATGACTTACCAGGTTAAAAACTAGTAGTATAAATGCAGTGTGATGTTCTGGTTTGGACCTTGAAACAGAAAAAGGACACTGGTGAGATAAACTGATGAAGTCTAAAGTTTTTAAAAAATTGGTAGTAAGTATCAGATAAATCAGATTATTTTTGGTTGATGTTAATTCTTTCTTTTTGGAGCAAATGAATATTCTACCTTCAAATTTCCTTTGATAGGTCTGAACCCATACTTAACTCTGAACACTTCCGGCAGTGGGACAGTTCTCATAGACCTGTCTCCTGGTGATAAAGAGTTTCAGTCTGTAGAGGAAGAGGTATGTTCACACACCTTAAATAAATGTTGGTTCCCTAGTTAAGTGTCCTGGAGGTTTCTAGATCTACGTGAAAACATAGTAGGGTATTTTAATTGTCCCTAATTCATCTACCTGGAAAACTGTCAAAATCAGCATTTCAGCTCAGTAAACCTTAACTTCAGTAACTTGGTTCAGCACTCCAGTTAATATTAACACAGAGGTTGCTGTCATTTGAAAGAAAATGCAAATGTCACCTCCCTTCGTGAAGGCAGTTACAAAGGCCAATGTCTCAGGCAAGACCCAGACAGAACAGTGGGTGACGCTTAACCCAGAAAATTTTTCTTCTAGCATTCTTTCTATAAAATTCATGGATCCACTGAAATCTTTTTATTATTTTTTTTTTTTTTTTAAGATTTTATCAGAGAGGGGAATGGGGCAGGGAGAGAAACATTGATCCATTGCCTCTTGTATGCACCCTGATCAGGGACCAAACCTGCAATCCCAGAACCGGCTGGCCTTCGCTTTGTGGATGACTCCTAATGAACTGAGTCACATCGGTCAGGGCTCCACTGACACCTTTTAATAATGCCTTACACTTTTAAGAACATGTACCTTATATATGTGTGAGCTGAGCACAAAGACACAAAATTGAGAGAGATTTAGTTCTAAAACCCAAGAAAGTCCCACTCTTGATGAAATACCAAATTGTGCTTTATTAGGGTGAAATGAATGGAAACAAATCTTTTTGGTGTGTCACGTGGTTAGCTTTATATGTTTAGCTCACCTATGAATCCAGTTGTTTCTTTCCTCCAGTTTGCATTACGTAGTTTTCACCTACAAATACTGTTTTCAGAATGATAGTACTAGTGAACAGTTCTCACTAGAATATAGTACTTGTGAACTTACAGAATCATCCCTTAAACAACAAAAATATTAAAAACCCATTTTATATTCTCAAAAATAGAATCATGTGAGTCAAGAACCATGTTCTCCAAATCAGAAAAGACATAAAAACTAAATATTTGAAATGTTTTTTTCATCAGATGCAAAGTACAGTCCGAGAGCACAGAGATGGAGGTCATGCAGGTGGAATTTTCAACAGATACAATATTCTGAAGGTAATAAGTTAGTAAAAATAAAGTTTGCTGGGAACATAGTTTTCAAAGCCCAAAACCATAATTAAGTTTCATAAGAATATAGTGATCTATCCAGCCCAAGAAGTCTTTGATATGGCATCAGGGGATATTTTGGGAAAGAATATACCCTTGGAAGATTAAGGTTCTGAAAATCCTGTTCTGTTTATATCCAGTAAGTCAGTGCTTGTTGAACATATTCAAGTTTAGGGATTGTGCTTTATCTTGGGGTAATGATAAGTACAGAGTTAGGACTGTATATAAACTATTAAAATACTCTGTGGTAACAAAGCTGAATTTTTTTGTGGCTTGTAAAAGGACTTCATCTTTATAGTTACATTAACCTTTTTCAATTTGCCCTGGCTACTCTAGATTTCTATAAGTCCACATACATACCACTTTTCTGTAATTTTAATAATATTCCCTCAATACCTTTATCTTTTCCAAAAACAATCTTCTGAAAATGTTTTAAGTCATTCTAATAAGAGTCCTGTCTCCTTATTGATATTCAGTTACTCTTATCAGGGCCTTTTCCAACTTTGCTGTTTTTCATGACCTGTATATAGCAAGTGAAACTACATCTACTTAAGGTGCATGATTTTGTAACAACTTCATTGATACATTCTTAATCATTATAAAAATAAGATGGCTGGAATTAAAATATGGCAAATATCTAATACCTAACTTTTAATCTCAAAGGTGAATAGTAGCATCCTTCAGCTGTTGGATTACTGTTTCACAATAATGTAGAATTATGATATAATATTAGATGTCATATTTTAGAATTAGTGAATACTAAAACTATACATTGTTATTTCTGTGTTCACACTATTAGAAATTAGATGATTTACAGCAAATACATTATTCAGGTAAAGGATCATACTTATGCATGTTCCGTTTTATTAGTTTATATCAGAGTATGACGGAATGACATCTTGATATTTCCATCCATGGACATATAGATTTTTAATAAGACAATTATGGCTATATAGGCAAAATTTCAGTGACGTCTACTTTGTCTGCAAATAGTAGCAAACCATTTCTTAAGAATGAGGACAATAGAGAGAATATGAATTTGATTTCCAAAATACAGGCACACTTTGCTTTATTGTGCTTCAGTTTACTGAGCTTGACAGATTTTGCATTTATTTCCAAATTGAAGGCAAGACCCCCCCACCAACAAAAATATTACAGCTTTCTTTGTTGCAGTACTTTACTGTGGTCTAGAACCACATCCAAGATATCTCTGAGGTATGCCTGTAGTTGAATTTGAGAAAGATATGCTCTTCTACTATAATGCTACTTTAATGCAATATCTAATAAAAATTTTTCAATGATAAGACTTTTACATTTGTTACTTTTTACCTAAATGAGATTTCTTTGTGCCAGTTGTTTTCCTTGATTTTGTCTGTGGCAGTATATTGAATTCTTTTGCGCTCCCAGCTGTGTTCTATGGCCAGCAGGGGGCTGTAGCACCTTTAAACACAGCTAAGAAACAGCTCTAAAATTGTGAAATTTGACCTTGTAAATTCTCCAAATGAGAGCAACATCCTCCACACAAAAGTTTTAGAAACTGGAGGGGTAGAGAAAGGTAGAGTGAGTGATAGGGGGTATATGTGTGTATGTATTTTAGGAATATTCTTTGGTGTGGCTATTTCAAATATTTTTAATTAAAAACAGGTAAAGATAGTATTTTGAGCCAGAAAAAATTAGGAGGAAAAAATATAATCTCTTTTTAATACTTAAATACAGAACTCAACTGATTTGGAGGTATTTAATAATAATTTTAATTCAATGAGAATGGAATTATTTTAATCAATTAAGGGTATTATTCACTTTTACATATGGCCACATGTAGCTTTTTTCCCTTTGATGTTTTCAGTTTCCAAAATATAGCTATACTTTCATCTTTATGGTCAGGACAAAGTATTTTTAGTTGACTTATTAAAATAACACATAGTTTACATTTTAGAGAAAAGTACTGCCCCTTCTGGCTATGTGGCCCATTTTTGGTTAAGATACACAGGAAGGTAAGTAATTATTATGAGCTGAAGATGTGATTTTTCTGGTTTCTTTTTTATAGATTCAGAAAGTTTGTAACAAGAAACTATGGGAAAGATATACTCACAGGAGAAAAGAAGTTTCTGAAGAAAACCACAACCATGCAAATGAAAGAATGCTATTTCATGGTAAGATTTTTTTTTCCCCCAACCCTACTACCATTCTGCATGTTAGAATAGTTTTTGTCAGGTAAGGCCCCAGCCACTGTGGCTCAGTTGATTGGGCATCGTCCTACAAACCAAAAGATCACTGGTTCAATTCCTGGGTCAGAGCACATGCCTGGGTTGCAGGTTTGGTACCCAATCAGGGTGCATACAGAAGGCAGCCAATCAGTGTTTCTCTCTCACATTGGTGTTTTCTTTCCTTTTCAAAATCAAAATTAAAAATGTTTTTTAAAAATTTATTAGGTATAATATAATAATGAATCTGTATAGTCATAGTGTCATTTTATTTATATTTTAAGATTTTATTTATTTACTCTTAGAGAAGGGATGGGAGAGAGAAGGAGAGGAAAAAAAATATTGATATGAAAGAGAACCACCAATCAGTTGCCTCATGCACCCTGACCAGGGACCAAACCTGCAACCCAGGCATGTGTCCTGACTGGGGATTGAACCTGCCACCTTTAAACTTTGTAGGACAGGGGCAGCCATCTGAGAGCTACATCAGTCAGGGGCCTCGTGTCATTTTTTATATTTGTATTTTCAACCTTTTTTGAATTTGTATATTTTACAATGGGTAGTTTATAAATAGAATTACCATAATGGAAAAAATGTAGGCATGGGAAAAAATGTTAACTATTCATATTTTCCTTTTCCCTTTATTTTAATAGATTTTGCTTATTATAATCACTCTGAGAAATTGTTTTATTTTTAACTAGTTGAGTTAAAGTTAAAATAAGATCTGAAAATCACCTCAGAAGAATGTATGCATTCTGTTCTTGCATTGACTCTGTCAAAACTACATTTAACTTTATTGTCAAGAGCTGTGGCCATTGAACTTTGATGTTTTCTGAGAACTTTCATTGAATTGAGCACCATTACTTACTACCATTGTTGACATTTCTTATGTTTCTGGGGTTTGCAAGTTGGCAGGTGTCAGTTGGTCTTTCAAGTTTATGGTAAGTATGAATATAGATATTAACATAGTATTTGTCAAGTCTTGAAGCACATTACCCATTGTAGCTCAAATCTGTGCCTTCATTTGGCCTTGATTGCGGAAAATTTTTAGAGACCTATAAAGTTCTATAAAACACAGCATTTAAATTTCACCATCCTTGGAAGGGTGGCTTTTGCAGTCTGAAATGGTGTGTAATATCAAAATGGTGTTTCTCATTCCAAAACCCTAAAAATTACTGTACTTTCTTGGCGTGAAGCAAAATATTTATGTATTGACTTAATGGTTATAAAGAATGGTTTTTCTATATTCATGATTTTGGTTTTTCTAATTTCAAATAACTAATTTTATTCTTCCATATTTCTGTAAAGTAGAATTCATTGTATTTTCCTGTCCCTTTATAAACAGGGACACTGATGTTGATGAATCAGTTAGTTACATTATATTGGCTTTTCCCAGCTCCCACCTTGACCTACTCCCTGACCTGGTTCCCATGCTGGGTACCTCCTCCCCTTTGGCTAAGCTCACCTTCTTTGCATACATGCAAGGAAGAAGGAGAAAGAAGTCAGTGTTCTGGGAATGAAGGCATACCACATTTGCAGATGGGATCTGTTAGGAGAAATGAGGTATAAAGAGAATTAACATGAAAAGACAAGTTTGGCCACTTTTGATATCTAAAAAAAGTACATACACATGGGTGTTATTGTAAGACCTTATTAATTCAGCCTTGCTATATGAGGTGAATTATAAGATTCTTCATTCTGATTTGCATAGATTTAAGGTCTGGAATTTGATAGCTGTAACATTAATATTTCATGTGATCTGTTTATTATTTTAATTAAATCTGTATGTGTCTTTGTTTTAGCAGCTGAACCACCACCAGCTTTTTAGAACATTGACTGTCAACTCCTCTAAAATAGTCTTTTGAACTTGTTTTTCAGACTGTTAAGGTGCACTCCCCACCCCCTCCTTTTTTTCTTTTTCTCCCCAAATTTGGGAGGAATAATGGTTGTTAATGCTGCTGTTGAGTTCTGTTTACATTTACATTGGCGAAATATTATGTTATTTATGCTATTAAATATTTTACCACATTTTTTGCTTCAAAGTTTTGTTTTCTATTTTCCTCTTCTAAAACCTAGGTGCATCTTATGGTCCAAAAAATACGGTATTATAAAGTAGTGAGCCGGCTGACAGTTAACTTGTTATCCTTGTTTTCTGATTTTGCTGTATTGTAGTGGTTGTGTAGATATGTTTAAGAATTTAACTTGTAAGAGGCTTTAGTTTTTGTTATTCTTCTAAGATAATTTTAAATTGTTATTCATCTGTATGTATTTTAGGGTCTCCCTTTGTGAATGCAATTATCCATAAAGGCTTCGATGAAAGGCACGCCTACATAGGTGGCATGTTCGGAGCTGGGATCTATTTTGCTGAAAACTCTTCCAAAAGCAATCAGTATGTATATGGAATTGGAGGAGGTACTGGGTGTCCAGTTCACAAAGACAGATCTTGTTACATTTGCCACAGGTAGGAGGTCACTTGTTCTCATTTATTTTGATAAGAATTAGATAAGAGCTGGCTTCATATTTCAAAATTTTGGGCGTCAAGGCATTATCTTGGACAATTTGAGGAATCCAAGAGTTGCTTTTGGCCATTTCACCAGTTATAATAGCTAGTATTTATCTAATGGTCTTTATGGGCCAAGTACAGTTCCAAGCACTTGATATGTTTAACTCATTTAATCATTAGTACATTTGGTGCTTTAAAGACCATGGAGTAGAACATCTCATTGGGCATGAAAGAGATTTCATTTTGGCTCTTGAATATCATAGGACCATGGACTCTTTAAAAGATTCTAGTATTCACATGCTAAATCGGTATTACTTGCAAAGCCTAATTATTTCTTGGCAATGCATAAGGGAGTTCTCTTCCATTTTGATATGATCATAACCTTCAATTTGTGATTTTACTACTTGAAAAGTTATCATAAAACACATCAATCTTTTAGAAAGTACATTGTTATCAAATAACTACTTTGTGTGCTCACTTTAGCAACACATATACTAAAATTGGAATGATACAGATCAAATTAACATGACACCAGCACAAGAATGACACTCTGACTTGGCTCTAATTGGTAAACTTCTCATAGATAAGTAAATTATCTTTTGCTATCTGAAAAAGCAAGTAAGATTAATTATTGAGATTATCTTAGAGCTAGGGCATTGCTTGTAAAGATCTAGAGCAGTAGTTTATCAAACATTAGCAAGCTTCAGGATTCCTCTGGAAGGCTCTTGAAAAGCAGATTCCTAAGCCCCTACCTTCTGAGGCACTGATTTAATAGATCTGAGGTGGGGCCCTAGAAGTTGAATTTTTACCAGGTTCTCAGGTGTTACTGATAACTTCTGATCAATGATCTAAAAAAAGCCCCAGAGTAGTAGTTCTCAGTCTTGGCAGCATATTTGGAATCACTCAGAAAGCTTTAAAAACTGTGTCCCACCCTCAGACATTCTCATTTAATTGGTCTCTGGGGTATGGTTTGGGCATTTGGGTTTTTAAAGGCTACCCAGCTGATTTTGAAAGGTTTTCAAGGTGAGGAACTATAGTCCTGGAGAGAAACATCTTTTTTTTTATTTTGTTGTTGTTGCTTTCCCCCTAAATTTAGATTTGTATAGGTGCCTGAAGTCGGCCCTCCTGGGTATGACTTTCCACCCACTTCTATTTTAGATCATAAATTGGATTGGTTAGGAGGCTTATGATTTCTTGAGAGTCTATAAGTTAAACACTGCTGTTTTTACTTGTCATATTATCTGGAGGTGAAACAGTTCTGGATATCCATAATCAGTGTTCTTGTACCTCTTCTAAACTGTCTCTGGAGTAGAACATTTGGTTGTTTGGAAACTTAAGACTTCTGTATTCTGGATTATCATGGCACTGATTGTGACTGTAAAAGATGATCTTTTAGAAATGCTAAGGTTTCCAACAGGCATATTTAGAATAAAAAGTATAGAAAGTATCTGTTTGGAGAATAAAATCATCAACTGGTTCACCAAAATCTTCTTTTCTCTCCTCTAAAAAGAATAGATAAAACAATGAAATAACTGAAGGGAGGGTGGGAGCGCCAGTTCAGTGGAACTAAGGAAGGCCAATCATATGCCTGAGGGGGATGGGAGAGTAACCTACTTAAACTTTAGGTAAGGGAAGACCTAGCTGAGGAAGTAGCATTTCAGCTGAAACCTGCAAAATGAGTGTTAGCCAGCTGGAGAGTAGTAGAATAGATGCCATTGTACATGGTAGAGGAAACAATATAGTATGTATCATGGCCATGGGGTGAGAAGGTTTGACCTATGTGAAAAAAGAAAATGTGTCTGGGGCATGAAGAATGCAAGATAAGATTAAAGAATTTGTAACCATTGTAAGGAATTCAGATATTCTTCTAAGTACAGTGAGCAGCCTCTAGAAGGGTTTAAGCAGGAAATTTATGTGATCTAATTCTCATTGTTTGGTTTTTGTTGTTTATTAAATCAGTGGTTGCTTGGATGGAAAATAGGTTAGAAATGAATTAGAATAGGAAAAGGAAGACTAACTAGTTCAGAGGTCATTGTTATAATCCAGATGAAAATTTAAGAGAAGAGAATGGATTTCAAATATATTTTGTAGTTGGAATCCACTGGACTTGGTTAGAAAAATGTCCTCTTTGCAAGGCACTTCATGGAATCCCCTTAAATCTCCTTCCCACTTGGGCTATGATTTGTGCTTTTGCTGGGATACAAACAGGATGACTGGGTCTGCATATCTATAAGGTCATTACATTTTCAGGTTTTATAGTTAATTAAAACAACAAACTTCTTCATTAATGAGAATAGTAGGAATTCTTATAAAGTTCTTTTAAGGGTGAAATGATAATTCATAAATATGTATAAATGCTTTAAAAAGCTTATGCAATGCACACAAACAAAACTGTCATGTGCTACTTTGTCTTTAGGGAGATCTTTTTTTTTCTTCCCCACATTATAGGCAGCTGCTTTTTTGCCGCGTAACCTTGGGAAAATCATTCCTGCAGTTCAGTGCAATGAAAATGGCACATTCTCCTCCAGGACATCATTCAGTCACTGGACGCCCCAGTGTAAATGGCCTAGCATTAGCTGAATATGTTATTTACAGAGGAGAACAGGTAATTCAGTTTTTTTTGTTCATCTTCAAAAGTGCTTTAGAGCCATACTTTAACCTCTTAGTAATCTTAAATTACTAAGAATGTATGTTGCCTTAAGAAATGCATTTCTTTTTAATTATTTTAAATAATTTCAGATTTGCAGGAAAGTTGCAGAAATAATAAAGAGAATTCCCTTATGCCCTTTACTCAGATTTTCCAAATGTTACCATTTTAATATTCTCTCTATCAATTTCTCTCTCCTGAATGTGTGTGTATACTTTTTAACTGTTTGAGAGTGCAGTTCCTTTACCCTTAGGAACATAGGCATGTTTCTTTGTCCTTAAATATGCACTTAAACTATATTTCTTAAAAACAAAGGAGATTCTCTTAAAATTATCACAATGAGGAAAATAACCTATATACTATATTTAGATTTTGCCAGTTTTACTGGATCTTTTTTTTTCCCAGCTTTTCTAAAATGCAGTTAACCAGAATCCTATGTTCAGTAGTCAGCCTGTCTATAGCAAAGAAATGTTTCATTCCCTCTTGCTCTTAGTGACACAGATCCAGTCAAAAACGTCTCTAGATTGTGTTCTCATTTGGGGATATGTATCCATATCACTGAAGTTATTAAAAACAGATACACACACACACTTAGTACTCATTCCAGACGTGCTGGTTCAGAATCTCAGAGACTGGAATCAAGGTCAGGATGTTTTGAAAAAACGCTCTTACATTATTCTGACCCATAGCACACTGAGTTAGAACCTCTTTTCTAAGCATTAGCAACTCTTATGGGAAATCTTCCAAAAATTTGTTTACTAATATTTGAATTAATCTTTCTCTTCTAGGCTTATCCTGAATATTTAATTACTTATCAGATTGTGAGGCCTGAAGGTATGGTTGATGGATAATTATTTTAGGAAACTAACTCCACTGAACCTAAAGTCATCTGAGCAGCTGGTGGCCTCTTAAGTTTTACTCCTTTGCTGAGAAAAATCATCTTGTTCACAAGCCTGTGGCAAAAGGATAAAAAATGTGAAAGAAGTTTAACATTCTGACTTGATAAAGCTTTAATAATGTACAGTGTTTTTTAAATACTTCCTGTTTTTCAGCACTTTAACAGATGCCATTCCAGGTTGAAACTGGGTTTGTCTGTACTGAATTATAAACAGAGTTAACTTGAATCTTTTATACGTTATGCATTGATTCTAACAAACTGTAACTCCCTCAACAGAACTCATTTTACTAATACAGTACTGTGTTCTTTAAAACACAGCATTTACACTGAATACGATTTCATTTGTAAAACTGTAAATAAGAGCTTTTGTACTAGTCCAATATTTATTTACATTGCTTTGTAATATAAATCTGTTTTAGAACTGCAGCGGTTTACAGGTTTTTTTCGTAAGCACCGCTCATCTGCTCTTCATCCTGCATCATCATGACTGAGTGATCTTTGCGTTTGAATTCAGAGGCTGGGTTGAGTTGTCAGCAGAGACTGGCAGCTGGGAATGATTTATTTATCACATTTAATTTGCTGATGGAGGCATTTACCATTCACTAGAAATCTTTCCCATTTAAGAGCTTATTTCGTGAATTCTCTTCGGATTTAATTTGTGCTGCTTTTGTGTGTATAAGATACATTCCAAAGAGCTCTAACTGTAATAGTCCTGATTATTATAGATGCATCTTTACCGACATCAAACTCTGGGTTTCACATTGGAAAAATTGCTCATGTCATTTTGTGAAAAATGGAGCAAGTGCTTTTATTTTTTAGACAGGTTCAAGTCCTGCCACTGAACTATTATGATGTTCTTTTCATGAAATATAAATAGAAAGTTAAATTTCAGAGGTAGGAATGGTAATCTTGAATAATTTTCCAATATGTTCTGATCACCTTAGATGTAAATGGAAAAGAATAGCAAGTGGGAGTGCATGGGTTTTTGGTCCTAAGCATTTTTTTTCCTGTTCTTTTTCCTTGGCCTTACTGTCATACTTAAAGCCAGTCTGTGTACCATAGGTTAGCCCCACCAGAACATGAAATGTAGGTGCCCCAGTTCTCTCCTAGGCTCCTGATGGGCAGGGGCAGTGAGAAAGGTGCGTTCTGCTCTGGGTCGCCTCATAATGTTACCCCCAGTTGGAAATATGCTGTGCACACCACATGGTGACCAGACTTGTTTGGCAGTTGTGGAGAGAATGCTGTCCCATAAAATGCCATTCCTGTTTTCTAATGAAAAATGTCTTTTCCATGAAAAATGCTAAAGCATCTTGGTACAGAGGTGTAAGTAACAGCTTGTCAATCTGTTTGTTGACTCTAGCTTCCTCGTAAGTCAAGGCAAGATTTTTACTCACTTCAGTCTTTGTGAATGAGGACGTTCCCATTCACTCTATACCAGTTTACCTTTGTTTTACATTTTATTCAGTCTCTAACTGGCCCTTTAAGGCGATTTGTATATAAAGTGCTAGAAAATCATGTTCCTTGTCTTAAGTAAGAATTAATCAGAGTAAATGCATATCTGGAGTTTCTATGATGTAAATTGTGATTATTATTTAAGAGGTTAATTCCTGGCCTTTAAGTGATTTTATACAGTTCTCTAATAATTGCAAACATGATCCTAAAGTCATTTCTTGGAACTTAAATGGACTATGCCAAATTTTATATCATTTTTCAGGTTCTGGAAGCTTCCAGATTTTATAATTAGAAGATAATGAGATGAGTTAATGGAGTTTATATTTACATACCTTGTCTCTCAACATTTAGTCCATAATCTTCACCCTATGAGTGAATCGAATTGCTTATCATGTAAAATTATCGTGGTCTATGAGTTTACAGTATTGCAGCCTGTATTGTTTCATCTAATCCATTGCTTAATTAGTGTGATGTTTTTCTATGAATGATTATATTGTGGTTAATATGTTAGCATGGCAGTACTTTCAGTTAGCTTTTTGTTTGTTGGGAGGTGGAAGGGGGGTTGGAGGGGTTAGGGGATTTTTTTTTTTTTTTGGAGTTTTTGCATGAAATATCTTACTTTATAATGATGAAATTGCTTTTTCTTTTGTGAATTTTTTTGAAATGAGATTTAACTTTTTGTGTGAGTAGGATTATTATATCCATCTTGAGTGTCTTTCTTGTACTGTATCACATTCCATACCATCATTTAATTCTTAATAAACTGTTCACTTGTTTTTCCAGGTAATTACTGAAGTAGTATAAATGTGTTGAATGGACTGTGAGAAAATGGATAAGATTACAATAAACCACAATTGCAGGAAAACATTGTATTTCTGAGTCTAATGGTGATAAAGAATGCAGTTTCAAGGTTGAAGTATTGAATGTTGTGACCATGTCTGCTCATTTGCTTTAAGATTGAAGGTAGCTTTTAGACATTTAGTCCATCCAACAAACTTTTTTGGCAAACCTTAAAGCACATTCCTGGGAACTCTATCCTCTTAACTTATAAAGGGGAATATATTGTTTTTTCTATATTATATAAAAATTCTTTTTAAGTTTTAAAATCTTAAAGTTAGTGGTATTTGTTACTCTTTAAGTGTACTAAATGTATTTTAAATTTCACTATGCTAAGTGTCCGTGTGTGTGATCAATTCTCTGCTTTCCATAGTAAGAGAATAATAGTGCAAATAACCCATAAATCGTGGCTTTGAAATATTTTTCAGTAGCTTTATCTTCCTACTTCAGGTAGGATAATATTAAAGTGTTTGCCTGCTCCTAAGCATGCATTCCTAGTGTGTGATGTGATCCAATTGTTAGTGGAGAGATGGAGAAAGCAAGCATGCAAATAAATTTCCCTAAGATTTTGTGATTAGTATCCCTGACTTGCTTTTTACCTATTGTCTGTCCTGTTAGAGGACTAGAGTGACAGGAGCAAGTTGTAGTTGCCCATTCTTTAGGAGAACTGTCGTATTTTTAAAGTTGGACTGTAATGTGGCCTTTTCACTGTCTCCTGAATCTTTACCCCCCCATCTCCCTTTTCATGCTTGCCAGCTTAGGCAGGCTGTGACCTAAAATTACTTACACCTTCTTAGAAGGCTCTTGCTCTCCACAAAGAAGCCAGTGTCAACTCCAGTTCATTTTCCACCCGCACTTGTCGTCCTTGTCACACAAGTGTATACAGAGCTCCCGACATGGCCTGCACAAATACAGCTTTGCAGGCGGGGTTGGTGTGCAAACTTCACTGCCAACCCATGGAGAGAAAAAAATGAGAGGAAACTTAGAGCAGTTAGATATTGCTGCAGTGTTGTTAATTTCTTTAACAAAAATATTTGCAGCAAATTTTTTTTTAAAAAATTGGTCCCTTAGATAATTTGAAAGGTGTAAGAAATCTGTTTAACTTTAAACCCATCACTTAACACCTCCAAGCACACAATAATTTCTCAGAAAATTTTTATTGAGCCAGTAAATAAGTAGTGATTAAGTAGGCTATATGGTCAAATGGATCTGGATTTGAATTTTACCCTATCCGTCACCAAATGTGTGGTCTTGAACAAATTACATGATCTTGATAAGCTTTACAGTACTTACAGGGTTGTTGAGAGAACTAAATTATAGTCTATATGTGCCACTAAGTGTAATACTTAGCAATAAGTGGTTATTGTAATTAATATTATTATTATATCCCTGTAGGTTAAAAAAAAAGAAAATAATGGACTTCCTATTTACACATGAAAAGCAGTTGTAACACATCATGAAAAGACCCCATTTATAATATCAAATATATTTAATATATAAGAATAAACAATAAAAATACTTAATGTTACTTAGAAAAATAAGGCTGTCACAAATAGAATACCATATGCTATTCTTGAACAAAAAGATTCAGTATTATAATGATTTCATATAAATTTACTTTAACCTAATAACATACCAACCCTTTTGAGGGTAGGGGTGGGAAACTATATAGGCTGATTCTGAAACTACTATGAAAAATAAGTGTACAAAGATTCTTACTTAAAAATATCAGGGAAAGGAGTACTGAAGGGCTGCTAGCCATATCACAAAAAATTTTTTAAACCATTATTAAAACAGTAATATTACTGTCGGTATTTAGCTAGCAAAGGGAACCAGACATCGAGCTTAACAAAAAGGAGAAGGTAAGCCTGCTTCCTGGGCCAGAAAGCCACAGCTTCCCACTTGATTACACCATTGCTCAGCCAAGGTGATTAACACTCCTCCCTTTGCCCTTCCAGTACTGGATTGCTGCGGGACATGGGGGAGGTGCTGGGCCAAAGAGGCCTGCCAGCCTACCTAGGGGTTGTAAATCCATCCAAAATCCATGAAAGGTTGGGAAGTTCATTGGCCAATTTGAAAAGACACCTGGTCCATCCCAAGCCCAAGCTGGTACAGTCCCAGGGGAACAAAGAAGCTCTCTCTCTTACCCAGGAGCATGTGACCCTGTGGCTCTGGCACCTACCCAGGCTTGCAGCAGATGGCATGGGCTCCAAAATGACTAAGCTCGCTCTGTTGCCCACCTAATGATACACTCAGCCATTCATTTGTGCACTCTCTCACCCAGGAGCATGCAACCATGTGCATCTAGCAGCCACCAGGCCTACAGCAGATGGCATGGACACCAAAAGGACTAAGTTGCTCTCACCCACCCCAAACACACTTGGGCCAAGCTTTCATGCGTTCTCTCATAGCCACGTGGCCTTAGCAGCCATGTGGACTCCACCACCCAGAGCAGTCCGGAACAAGCTAAGAGTTACCTGGATGAACAAGCTGGCTGGATGTAGCAGCCACCTACAGGCTCCAAAGGACTAAGCTTTAATATAAAGCAGAAACAGTGGACACTGGCTTGCTTTGGCCTTGCGGAAGGCACAGATTTTTTCCACAGCAAGACAGAGGGAAATGGGACGTTGGAAACCCAGAGGCAGCTTCTCCACACAGATAAACCATGACACACCACAGTCTCCCATGTGTGGGTCCTTGGGATATTTTCCTTGTGGTCCCACAGAACAGACTAATTTCTAATTTCCACTAACAACAGTTATCCCAGCACATAAGCTAATTGGTGAAGTAGAAGACAGAATCCAGCCCTGACTGGTGTGGTCTGGGGGATTAAGTGCCAGCCTGCAAACCAAAAGGTCACTGGTTCAGTTCCCAGTCAGACAGAGCACATGCCTGGGTTGCAAGCCAGGTCCCCAGTTGTCGGGTGTGCGAGAGGCAACAGATCTATGTTTCTCTCGCATGTCGATGTTTCCCTCTTTCTCCCTTCCTCCCTTTCCCTTGCTCTAAAAAATAAACTTTTTTTTTTTAAGATGTTATTTATTTTTTAGAGAGGGAAGGGAGGGAGATAGAGAAGCATCAATGTGCGGTTGCTGGGGGTCATGGCCTGTAACCCAGGCATGTACCCTGACTGAGAATCGAACCTGCGACACTTTGGTTCGCAGCCCGCGCTCAATCCACTGAGCTATGCCAGCCAGGGCCTAAAAAATAAAATCTTAAAAAAAAAAAAAGACAGAATCCAGAAATGGCCTCAAATCCACAGTGTATGATAAGGATGTTTGTTACGAATTTGTGGGAAAGATAATGGTCTTGGAACAACTGAAGAGCCATTTGGGAAAAATAAAGTTGGACCCAGTTATTCTCTACATCAAAATATTTCAGAGGAGTTGAAAATGAAACTACCAAATTACAAGAAATAGAATGGTGTTACTAACGACCCTTCTAATTATAATGCAAAACCCAGAAGCTGTGAATGAAAAAACTGATACAACCAACTTACAAAACTTCCGTCTGCAAACAAAATAAAAAGCTAAATGGCAAGTTGTGAATACATGTAACAGACCAGGAATTGATACTTTTACATATAAAAACATTCAAAAAATGAGAAGCAAAATAACAAAATGAACAATACATAAAGAGAAGAAAAGGGCGTTTAAAGAAGAGAAATGCAACTTAACTATATACTGTGATACCATTTTCCACTTCTCCATTAGTAAAGATCAAGGAATAATATTTAAAATATTGAACACCCAGATGCCAGTCTTATTAAGACGACTCAGTTGTTTGTGAGAGGTTGTGGGTACAGAAGTGCGCTGATAATTAACCATCAGCATAGTCCCACTGGTGCGTTATAGCTAGCTACCTATCAGCCCTGGTGGAGAATACCTCTCTCGCATCATTGAGAAATTCTAGAAGGAAAACAGCAATATTTGCCCAAATCTTAAATGGATATACACTATGAGTAAAAGGCCCCATGATAAGGAAATACATCACAGTGTTATCTGAAGAGAAAGTTACAAACAGCACATCTATTCATCAGCAAGGGAATGGCTAAATAAATTATAGTGCATTCATACACCAGGAAGTCTGGAGTCATGAAAAGAATAAACCAGGCCTATGTCTACTGATCAAGGTAGATTACTGAATGGGAAAAAAAAAGGCAAAGTTCAGAACAGTGTGTAAGTTACCATTGTACAAAAATTATTACAAATAACATGTTAATTTGTGCATAAGCTGCCTCTGGGGGAAGTGCAAGTAAATGGTAAGTAACTCGAAGAGATGACCTGGGTGGCAGAAGATGGAGGGGGAATGAAAGCTCACTTTCTATTTTGTATTCATCATACTAATAACTTTGTACTATGTGTCCTCACTTAAAAATGTAATATGTTTAAAGATGAGATTTCAGTTAGGATACCTAAGGGTTTTATTGAGCTGTAAGTCTGCAGAAGTGTGAGCAAAACTGAATTAAGTTTCCTCAAACCTGATTTATCTCAGTCTTCCTCCTCCTATCATGGCCTCTTTATTCTTCCAGTTGTTCAAGGCAGAAACCTTGGAGTCACGTACTGTCCCTCACAGCCCACAGCAAATCACTTAGTCCCCTGTTCTCACCTTGTCCCCCTCTCCCTGACCCCACAGTCTGTTTCAACTCAGGAGCCAGAGTGGTCCTGTTGAGGCATAAATCAACTGTCGTGCCTTTTCCTTGCAGCTCTGCAGCGACTCCCCGTGTCACTTGGACTGAAAGCTGAAGTCCGTAGAGTCCCCAGTTTGACCTACCACATGACCTGCCTCTGTGTCCCTGACACATTTCCCACATGCTTCTGGCCACTCCAGCCCTCTGCTGAATATGCAGGCACGCTCCCCCACCTCCCACCTTTGCAGGTGCTAGTTCTGCTGCCTAGGATGCTCTTCCCTGAGCATTCCTCAGGACGTACTCCCCACCTTCCTGTTTAAAAGCCTTGTTGGGGAGGCCTTCCAGAACTACCTTTTGGAAACCTTTATTTCACCCTTCCCTTTCTCCCCCGATTCACTCCC